CAACCTCAGTTTTCAGGCGGCAGTCAAAACAGCATATCTTATCTAATTCTTCCAAGAAAGCCATCTTCGTATCCACTAGATGCAGACTTCTCACGTATTTACGCCGATATCGTTTTTTATCCCTCCGCCCAGCTATATTCACGCGCGCCTTTGAACGCAGACCCCTTTTCGAAGTCGTAAAGGAAGAATCCTTCAAGCGTGCTTCGAGGTTTTCATCTTGATATCGATCTGCATGCAGTGAACATTTGATTTTTGCAAAGTTGCAACCATCAACAGCGAAGCATCAGAGAATGCTGCAGCCTAAATTTTTCTTGACGTCTTCAACGCATCCATTTATCATTGCTCCCAACCAAGTTCAGGCCGTTTCAAGGTTTCTTTGCAAAGTGCAGCTGGAGCTTAGATACAGATGCTAGGTACTTTTAATCAACCAATCTTCATCCCAACACAGCTCCGCATATCTGAATGTATACATTTATCAACTTCATACGAAGTTCTCGTTCCGTGTAACAACCAAAATTTATCAGCCAGCTCATCATCTTTTTCCGGCCCATCCCCCATATCTCCCTTCCCCCGCATTCCGCCCCCAACGGTTTCCTGCCAGCTGTACGGCTGTAATGCAGATAACATTACCATGTTCGCTTCGCCGAGCTACAATAGGACTGGACTATTGAATTTGATTCTCGAAATACAATACTACAACACAGCCTCAATCGTGACCTTGTATATATCACGACTCTTTTGAGCCACTTTTCAGCTGAATACTGACGTATAGTGAGGTGAAGTAACATAAAGACAGTTTATATTTGGAATTTTGTACCTGTATTGTAGATACATGCCGATGTATGAGTGCAGCCAGATGACGACGTTAAAATGGAATACTTCAGAGGCTCTCAATGCAACCGAAAAACACGATATAGCAAGTAGTAACAGAGTAGAGAAGATCATTATTAATGAGTATATCTTGAAGATAAAAATGGGTCAAGCTAGAGGCCTGGGAGAGGAACCATACTCGCGACATTAACAACCTATGAGGAAAAAGTTGGCCAGAATCAAAATCCTGTTTGATCGAATTATGGTCTGATGTTGTGCATGGCAAATCGGAACACCGTCATAGTATAGTGAATTATGATCAACAAATGCTCTCTCCCGGTGAATGTGGGTCTCCACGGCAAGTGACAAATCTTACTTGACCCCAATCTTGTCGATCGTAGCATGGGACTAAATTTATTCCATACTCTCGCCGGAAACGCGAGACCTGGAAGACTATCTTTCTCACCTTGGTAACAGTGACTGTTGAACAGGTTTCTGCGCCGCCTTAATCGATGGATTACCGGGGTCTCAATGGCTGAGAAAAAGAGGGTCTTTATGTTGACAGGAAATGGGTCCAAAGGCGAGCGAGTGCAGGAACAATACGAAGATCAGCAGCAATTTATCTTCTTCAAGACTTGGGGGTGCTGTGAATCAAGATTAACTACGAGGCCATTGCATTAAGGACGAGAGCTGTTTGATGCGGTTGTAGTAGTTGAGATTGACACGGCAGAGCACTTCTTGCAGGTCATTCATTCCCCATAATGCCACCATAACGATAGATGAATGCTTCGTCCCGCTCCGAACAAGTTGCCATGTGGAGCCTTGAGGAATATGATCCTAACATTGAAGAGGGGGTACCACTGCTATGTCCCAGGCTCTCATCGGGGGAATGCAGTGGCTGTTTCATTGTGACTTAGGTCGCTTGGGAGGATGAAATGGCATCTTCAATGCAAGAAGTAACAGAGACGATCGCATTTCCACTTTCAGTTCTCTCCATACCTGTTAAGCAGACGATGAATGAATGAACTCATTCTCAAAAAACACACGCTGACTGGTTCCAATGGAAGTTCTACTTCAAACTGGTCAACTTTCAAGGAAAAAAACACGCGAAGCAGTCGTAGTATCACTCTAAGACCTTACAATGAAGGCCAATCCAGAGAGCAAAATAAAGATAAATACATGTTCAGAAGACATTAAATATCTACGACCATTCTTCGAACCGTGAATCATTGGAGCAAAAGTGGGAAACATTCTGCTCCACTCGGGGCCAGCGGGCAATCTCGCTAGGCAGCTGGCAATCTGCATGCCAAAATCTGGTATGATCTGATAGAGACCATCACTGGCTATATACCATCGAACACCTAGCATTCAAACGTCACAAACCTCCAAATTAGAATCGTCCAGCATTCTTGCAGAAGTAAAACCAGAAACTCTTCAGCAAAAAACGTAACCGTTGCGGTACGGCTGAAGACACACTTGACGGATTGAAAGTTCAGATGAGAAGTTACTAAGGTTGGAAGGCGTATAATCAAAGAATTCTTAGCTAGTGAACTAGTGCTACTGTGGTAGACGAAATAAATGAGAAATACAACTTCAGATGACAAGAGACAATGGAACCTTTGCAGATGTACAAGACCAAAATTCCCAGAACCCGATCCGGCAACAATAAGTTTATGTGCGATGCAATCCCAATATTGTTAGCAACGTTTGAGACAGAAGCCATTTGGAATCATGAAGACGTCCATCTAAGAACTTTTGCTACAATGATCCAATAGAGACGCACGTTTAGGCGAAAGTCTTTGGGTTTTCGTGTAGACGTTCGACAAGACCCACCGCTTGAGCTGAAGATAGAGATGACAAGAACATCGGGCAGTGATCCAAAAGTCAACAATCCAAAACAAATTCAAGAATATCTTAGACCCATGCGTCGTATTCGTACAACAACTAACATCATGAGCAAACCTCGACAAACAATACCAACCGCTAGGCACTATAGCCATGATAAAAAGTGTTTGGCACGCAATCCAAAAATTCAGAGTCCCATTCGAGCTGTAAACGACCACATCATTCCACTTCCTGCTCTCAAAGTTTGGCCAGATATCGAACAAACTGCGAAGGCCAACAATCCGATGGAAATAACACGAGAGAAGCAGCTTTTAGCGCAGAGGTACACAATCCAGCCTGAATAGACAAACTTTTCGTAGCATGATCAAAAAGTCACCAATAAATATAAATCAATAGAAACCCCTACTCCTAAATTTCAACTGGGAGGCCCCAACATCGAAAACAACCACCACATTCTTCAAAAACACATCTCCAAGCGTATAAAAGTCAAAAGGATCTCCATCACTCACGCCCGCCACGCAGTTCCCCGTACCCGTATTATCATCCTGTACCATATCCCTTGGATCGACAGGAAAAGATACGCCGCCAATAACGACAGCAAAGTACGGCACCTTGGCATTACATGGCACAGAGTAAGCGAACAGATCTGAATTGTATACGGCAGGTGGCTTGTATAGTGCTGCAAGAGCGGAGGAGATGGAGTTGGGAAGGAAAATAAGGGTAGTGCCTGAGTCGATGAAGAGTTGGACTTGAGAACTGCTGCCGGGCATAGACAGTGGGGACCAGTGTTTGGGTTTCCATTTTTGACGTTGGCTACCAGGGTAGATAAAATTGCCTGGTGTGAGTGTGTAGACTTCTAAGAAGAGGTTAGTACACTGTCAACAGATGGTTTTAGCTCATGGGGGTGAACGAACGGTGCTGTGGCCATGGAAGAGCTCCTTGTATGTAACCTTCTCCTATGGCGACAATTTGAATTGGTGCTACAGCCCAAGCTCCATAGGAGGCGATGCGAGGCAAGCCACCTAAGGCTAAGTACCCATTGCCTTGGCCAGTGCGATTTGAGCGCCTACTCAAGGCGAGACTGAAAATTGGGGGTATGAGGTGTTTTTTGTACATGGTCGTGAATATAGGGTCATAGGGAACTATATGCCGTTAGTCCCGCGAAAATGAGAGCAATAATTTCACGTACTTTGAGTTTCCGCCTTGTCATTTTCAAAAGTGGTGCCATTGAATGCCGCGGTGCTGAATTAATATCAGGAAAGCTCAGGTAAAAGAGGAGAAGCGACTAACATGGATGGATATGCAAGACCCAACAATCCACTTGTAGTTCCATCACCAAGCCATGCAGCTGTATCAACAGTCGCAATCTGAGTATTGACACTGCTGAGTGAGCAGCTGAATTATGAAGATGATCAGGAAACTCACGAAATGCCACCCAATGTTACATCCACAACACCAAACTTCCCCTTCAAATTTTCCCCACTTGCATATGTAGTATTGAAATGTTGGTTTGGGATATATTTAAAACCTGAGCTAGGGGCATAGCCTGGACCAAACAAGCACGCACTTTGTGGAGTTGGTGCTCCGGTATCATAATCTAAACATGTAAAGTTTGGTTTAACGATCCATGTATCGCTACTGCCTGTGTCGATAACGACGGGATATGTCTGTCCTTCCACTTCTAATATGGTATACCAATCGTGTCCCTATTGGTATCAGACATGAGACATCTTTGGGCATGGAATCCTCTCACCTTCTGAAGCGGATTGGCCGGAGCTATGCCCGTAAGGCCACCCTTCCGACGATTGATATTAGCAGTCAATGTGAAGAAGGTACCGACATCTTTAGGAGTTGAAGGGCCTTGGAAAGCAGCTGGCCTGTAGCCTTGTCCTACGACATTTGGCCGACAGGTGACAGATCCCGGAAATTGAATAAGCACGAAAATGAATTGGATATACATTTGAACTTGTGATAGGTTGGGAGTTCAGTTAAAAAATTGAAGAGAGAAGAGAGCTGAGTCCGATGAAAAGCGTCTTGAAAAGTGAACTGTTGGTAGCAAACTTCTTGAACAGTAAGTGGACTAAAATATGGGAGACTAAATCCATTACCAAACGATCGTATAAAACGCCTTTGTCCTTCAAAACGAATAGGAATCAAGGGGTCATTGGAAGAATGTTCATGGCAGTTTCAAAGTGAAATTGTATACGAGCTTGCCAAGTCTGGAATAACAGGAAAACACTAGATCTTGCATGCAAACATGATCCCTTTTGAAATGATGGCAACCACTTGACACCAGTCTTATAATTCTTCATTGCTCAAGCTGGGAATTGCCGTAAAATTATGCGCAGCTGGAATATGTGTGTAGTTGCTGTCTTAGAATGCTTTTTCTGGTACTCTGGAAGCTTTGAAAAGGTTGAATTGGGGAATTCGGCTAATGCAAAAGGGGCGCTCAATAGAAGATTATTCCATAGAACTTCTAGATTGCTTCTGGAATGTCTCGGCTTTGGACCGCCAATACTATCTTGTGACCCGCCAAGCACTGTCTTCCACGCATGATGATCATGATATTATCGGTAACCCTGGATATTTATAATTCAAAATGTTGATTGGAGAGCAAGACGACAGCTCTAAGCATCCCGTTGCCTTTGACTACTATTTTGTGATTGTCAAGGAGCATACATTCTGCACTTTCGTTTCCAGAATCGTGTTTATCTGGCCAGTCCCTCCATATTTCAATTCTATCTGATAGACCAATTGCCATTTGGGCCACTCTCCTTGCCTGTGCCTCGTCGCCTATTTCCATTACAAGAATTTTTGACTTCAAAAGGGAATGAAATCGCAACAATCGATGATAAAAGATATCCTCCACTTCGAAGAAAGAACTATTTCCAGAATCACTATTGAAGTGTATGATTTCTCGCCTCGATGCATCAGGAACCAGTGCAAGTTTTGGTTCCCAATTTCTAACTGATCGTGTCGTTTCTTTGTTAAATCCATCCTCTGATATATATGGGGGATTAGACACAATTACATCGCAGACGCCTTGAGATATATCTAGGATTCTTTCCTCGCCTTCGAGAATATCAGCAAATTCAAAACGAACACTTTGCTGTGCAGATCTGTTCAGAGCATTAAAACGGACGTTTTGAATTGATAAATCAAGCGCTTTTTTAGAGATGTCTAGACCGATGATCTCGAGTCCAGGATATACTTTATTCAAAAGCGAGTATAAAAGAAGAGAAATGCAACCAGTCCCGGAACAAAAATCAATGATCTTCAGTGGATTCTGCTGATTTTCTAATGTTATGTGGGATGGACGCTTTGCTTTGATGAGAAGTTCTGCTAGATGTGTTGTGTATGCCTCTGTTTCTGGCCTTTAATTGTTAGATATGATTCTGAGAGAAGGTATTTTGTCAGTATTACCTAGGTATAAGTACTCCAGGCTGACATTTAATTTCCAATTCCCCAAAAGGCTGAGTGCCAAGTATATATTGCAGTGGTTCCCCTGCGGCACGTCTTTGGCAGAGTTTTAGTAAAGTCCACCATTTTTGATCGGGCATACGATGGCTCATCGTTCTATCAACATATTCACGTAGCCATCGTAATTCGTTAATTGCAGATGAAAGGCTGCGTGTTTCTCGGAGGACTAATGGTAATAAAGGCGAGATATTATAAGCTCTGCGCAGGAGAGTATGAGAGAGCCGAGGCATGAGTTCATGAAGTAAGAACTATAACTGAACAGGAATAAGATGTAAGAAGAACGACACGACTCATTCATACTATATCCATACTTTATCTGACTGATCTTCGTAATGTCATGAGTTATTGAAACTCTCGGGGAGAGCAGAGCCACACTCAAGCCACAAAATCTGTGCAAAGTCACGTGATTATCATTTGTCATTCGCCATAATAACTATTTTAGAACTAACGACATCTAAGATTCTGAGTCCGGAATGGAATGCCGACAATGAGATCATAGATGTTAAGTAACAAATGTGTAATGAGCTGTGACATTCAAGTTAAGTATCATGTTTTCGTCTTGATCAAGAGTTTCTTGCTCCAATTTCATGTTTCTTTCCATTGCTGCCTGCAATTGTTTCTCATATATTTCCTATCATCATCATGTCTGATCCCCAAAATCCTAATATTAAAAGTAGAAACACTCCACAATGGGCGCTCTATCAACGAGAGATGTTTTGGAAGGACAACACTGGAGAAGTCCCTCCATTTAGTACAGACCCAGGAGATCTTGAAGATTTGGCGAAAGAATCATTGACAAAAGGCGGATGGTAAATTGAGCTTGAGCATACCTACACATCATCTCGATACTTATATTGTTAATAGGTATTACGCTTCCTGCAACGCAGGCCAGTCTCACACTCATCTCGCGAACCGGCAGGCGTTCTATCGCCACCGTATTGTTCCTCGAATGCTCGTCGACACAAACAATCGCGATACGAAGACGGAAATATTTGGCCACAAGGTCAGCGCACCTATCGGATTCGCACCTATCGGCATCAACAAGATATATAATCCATTGGCTGAGTTGCCCGTAGCTAAGGTTGCAAAAGAATTAAATCTGCCATATTGTTTATCAACAGCAGGATCGACCTCAATTGAAGATGTAGGAGCTGCGAATGGTGCCGGACCACGATTTTTTCAATTATATATGCCGCATGATGATGAGTTGACCTTGAGCTTGTTACAAAGAGCACATGATAGCGGCTTTACAGCTTGCATCTTGACATTAGATACATGGCAATTGGCCTGGAGACACCGTGACGCTGCGAACTCGAATTATGCTTTCTATCATGGTGTAGGGACTGATTTGGGGCTGTCTGATCCCGTTTTCCAAAAACGGTTGAAAGAAGCCGGTATCGATCCAGAAAAGCAACCGAATGAGGCCGGCGCGATGTGGATTGATAATGTTTGGCACGGACGCGCTTGGTCCTGGGAGAAAATGCCTTGGCTCATGGAGCAATGGAAAAGAATCAGTGGCGGCAAACCTTTTTGTTTAAAGGGTATCCAGCATGTTGCAGACGCAAGAAAGGCTGTTCAGCTTGGCGTTGATGGCATAGTCGTGTCTAATCATGCTGGGAGGCAGGTTGATGGAGCTTGTGCAAGCTTAGATGCATTGGAAAAGATTACCAATGGTAAGTGGTTGTTCCTCAGTGCTTATCAAGCTGCACCTTTTACATTCTGCGGTAACTTATAAATGATACTGATGCTTCTTTTTAGCTGTAGGTGACAAGACTTATATCATGTTCGACTCCGGAGTTCGTGGGGCAGCTGATGTATTCAAAGCCTTAGCTCTTGGAGCGAAATTCGTCTTCGTCGGAAGATTATGGGTTTGGGGATTAAGTATTAAGGGTGAGCTGGGCGTTCGACATGTCATGAAGTCTCTCTTAGCCGACTTCGATATCTTAATGAATGTATCCGGATATCAGAATGTGGAGCAGATCGATAGGGATAGCATTGAGAGTCTCCCGAATTCTGCATGTATGATTGCAGAGAAGTCGAAATTATGAAGACCTCTATATAAAGACATCGATGTAATATTTTGTAGAAACTATAATATGAGTAAATTAAAACAGAGTCGACATGTTTGGTTTTCCTTCTCAATTTGACGATCTGCACAATCGCATCGTCAATTGCTTGAGTGATGATCTGATGATGATTCAAAAAGTAAAATGTTGTAGTTCCATCTATGACATATCAAGTATCGATTGGACAATGACATCCACCATATTGGCCAATCAAGCATTGGCTGTTGTCTGAGCTCGGCTTCAATTAGCACGAGCTTGCATCATCACAAGAGCGGCAGCAATTCCGACTCGCATTAAATTCAACGACCTAGATATGTATATTCCGTTTCAATAATTATTGTTTCTTAAATCATCCTTCTTTTCACATATTTGGTTATTATTTTGATGAAGGCTATCAAGAGAAAATAAGTTACATCGGTGTATCTCAAAATGCCGCGTAGTATATCAGTAAAGGAGATTTCACAGCACAGAATTACTTCAGATTTATGGGTTGTGGTCAATGACACAGTTTATGATTTGACAGATTTTGCCCCCGAACACCCTGGAGGTGCTAGCAGTGAGTAATTTCTTTGGCCTGCTTATTATCTCTCACTAACCCCCTCATCCAGTAATTCTACAGTATGCTGGCCGCGATGCTTCGAAAGCTTACGCTGAAATCCATGCACCCTCCTTAATATCATCCTCACTTCCAGCCTCGAAAGTCTTGGGATCAGTTGATTCCTCTACTATAACGGAAGAATGGATTAAACCTCCGCCTGAAGTTTCAAAGACTCTAGCCCCTGGCTCTAAGCCTTCTCTTGATAATTTAATAAACACGCACGATTTTGTAATTGCTGCGGAGTCATTACTTACACCGAAAACTTGGGCATTTTATTCTTCCGCAGCTACAGATCTTATAACCAAAGGCCGAAATTCTTCCACATATGCAGATATTAGTCTTCGTCCCAGAATACTGAGAAATGTCAAAGATGTTAGCACGATGACTACAATGCTTGGTAATCAGATGGAAGTGCCAATATTCTGCTCACCAGCAGCAATGGCAAAATTAGTACATCCACAAGGTGAGCGGGAGCTAGCTCGCGGGCTAAAATCTGCGGGGTCGGCAATGACCGTCAGTACGAACGCTAGTTTTCCAATTGCGGAGATATTTGAGGCCGCGTCTGAAGACTATTCGCAGACTTCTGATGGTAGGAAAGAGCTTCCAATATTTTTCCAGCTTTACGTTGACAAGGAAAGACACAAATCTGAGAAGCTTCTACAAGATGTGGAAAAACTCGGTGTCAAAGCAATATTCGTGACTGTTGATGCACCAGTCCCTGGAAAGCGAGAAGCGGATGAAAGAGTAAAGGCAGATGAGAGTTTATCTACACCAATGAGTGGCGCAAAAGCTAAGAACGATAAGAGAGGTGGTGCGTTGGGAAGGATAATGGGTGCTTACATTGATGCTACACTTTCATGGTCAGATATCGCCTGGTTACGACAATGCACCAAGCTTCCTATTTTACTGAAAGGTGTACAAACCTCGCTCGATGCAAAAATGGCGCTCAACTATGGAATAGATGGGATTTTGATAAGTAATCATGGTGGTAGAAGTTTGGACACAAGTCCAGCTTCGATACTGGTTTTGTTGGAATTGCAGAAGAATGCACCCGAAGTTTTCGACGGAATGGAAGTTTTCATTGATGGTGGGGTTATGAGAGGAACTGATATATTTAAAGCATTGTGCCTAGGAGCCAAAGCTGTAGGAATTGGTCGAGGCTTTTTGTTTGCTCTGGGCTGGGGTCATGAGGGCGTAGAGAAATATATCGAGAGTGAGTTATAACCTCAAAGGCAGTCACGTTCTTGATCGATATGCTAACAACACACAGTTTTGAAAGACGAGCTAGAGACAACAATGAGGATGATGGGTATTACGGACTTGTCACAAGTACACCCTGGCATGTTGAATACGAGAGCAGTAGATCATCTGATTCCAGACGGAGAGGAGGATCATTCATATGCAAAATGGAGACCGAAAGCAAGAATATAAGTCTAGTAATTGACAGGAATACTCAGGAATTAGCTTAAATCTATGAATACCTACAGAAGCCATGATTTACAGTTTTTATCACTTTTTATATTCCTCGAAGCATACGGCAGGTATCATCTTGAGAATCTACATCAATTTCTTCGATACCTCAATCTCCGAAAGTTGATCAATAACATCCATTATATGGACACACAAGGAAAATCACAAACCTTGCAAATTATAGCTGGGACAATAGACCTGATTGCCATTTTTACACAGCTGTAATCTCTACAGGTAGGGTGCGATACCATGCGGGAGCGGTCCAGAGCCACATTCCTCTGAAACTATCATTTCGTTCACGGGAGTTATTCAATCTTCTTCCAATCTAACAATACATCGAAACAAGCCAAGACGATTTGTGAATGTTCATTTACGATAAGGTATCGGAGTTTGGACCAGTGAATGCAAACATTTCGCTTCGGGTGTGTTTAGCGAAGAGATTTTTGTAGAGCCTCCATGGTCCTGAAAAAGAAAAACAAAGCTATTGGATCTTTGGGAGGTAAATAATGATGTTCGTAAATTCAATTTTGTCTTCTGAATCTATGTATTCTGCTATAGTACGATTTATTACTCTGTGAATGAACAGGAAATGATCCAACTGCTTCATTTCTGTCTGTATAAAGTAACCCTCACTTTTCATCACCGCCCTTTTACTTCTGTAACATCAACTACCTCATCTCTTTATTTAATCGTAGAACAGCACATCAAATATAAACAACAAGTCTGCCTACCTTCTTAAGAATTTTTAATGACCATCATGTCTGCATACCCTAGACTGAGACCCGATTTCCAAAAAGGAGAAGCATCTCCTACCCAAGAAACCCCAAACTATCTCTATATCTGCGTCTTGGAATGCGAGAACGGTTGCCCTTTCCAATTTGAGTTTACCTTAGCCACCGGCAACGCTTCCGACATACAATCTCTCACCCGACATGATTTAGTGTATATATGTCCTTGTGTCGCAACAGAAGAATGTGGACAAGTAGGCCTAAGCTACCACCAAAGCAGTCTCCGACATTCAAGCCAGAAAGTCCTCACAATGATCCAAATCGCTAAAGTCAAAAACCAAGATCTTTTATGCGATGCTCTTCGCAAGTGTGACCCGGGAGTTGATGTGTTCGATGTGACCAGCTGGTATTTACGGGCTTTGGACACACTTGTTTGGGAGAATAGAACTGGGAGGATTCTCGATATCTACTGGGAGTTCAGTTTTGATGCATTAGACGATGCGACGGAGAGGTTTACACGCGCTAGTATTGTGCAAGGAAAGATCGTGGAGGGGTTTGGAAATGAGCTTGCAGATGGTGTGAAGATTCCGGTGTTCGATATGGCGAGATATTTAGAGATGATTGGAGTTTGACTGGGTGATTGGAAGTTGAGAGTGTGAAATCACCGATGTTTTTTGTGAAGATCTCAGTTAGAGTATGAGAGTCATGGGATAGTATCTAGAAATCGATGATGTTTGCGGTGTAATCTTGAACAAGCCCTGTTTGCTATGTTTTTACCTGAGTCGTGATGTACATATGTGCTCGTTAGTGCTTTGGTTTAACATATAATTCCAGGTGGCCTCTTTCGCTCCTGCAACAATAATCTTTTTGGCATTCCCAATGAAAGATCATAATTCCTCCTCCGGTTGTTTAAATTTCAATCAGGCTAAGATGAAGTAATCTAATTGGGCAAGAGCGATCAAATCCAATCGTAAACTTGATCAAGTAGTAAACTGAAAGAATTACCTCATTTCTGAATCAGGAAAGCATGAGGGAGGCATCTGGTGTTCCGGATGAAAATTTTCCGACTGTGTCTGATGCTAAGAAGCAATCGACACTTGAACTAGTTTGATTGTTATCTGCATTTTTCAATTGAGAGTCCATTTTAAACTCTGGTACGCCGAGTGATTATAATGATCTAGGTTCTTCTCATTCTCTTCGTTGTTGCAGAGTTCCAGGTAGATTCGTCATTCTTGGTAATTCCCAGCTTATGATAATCTTATCGAATTCAGTACTTTAAGTGGTTGGACAGTTCGACAGGATTTTCCAAAATCACTGAAATCATGGTTAAAATGTAGAATAATCAATGAACTTAATGTTTGAAAACTCATTCGGCTCTTCTTTCTCGGTATGGATCTTGCTATACCTCTTTCCTGTTGCATAACTACTTCTTGCTATACCTCGTACGAAATTTTACGCTCTCTTTTTCATTCTTGATAAATCAAAGCGAGTCACATGTACTTAATAAAACAATCTTCCGTTTTTTCAACCGATTCTCAATTCAAAATTCAAATGTTCATCGGAAAACATCAACCAGGCGTGATAAGTGGCACCACCCCTACAGGAGAGACTGCTGCTGGAGTTGAGGTTGCTATGCCTCCTGGTACAGTTGTACATCGAGACACGGTATTATTCTGGATGCCTCCAGAAGCTGGTGAGCCTGATAATTATACGACATCTTACGATACTTTCCCACCAGAGGCTGCTGTTCTTCGTGGTCTCTCATTGTTGAATCTCCCTGCAAATGCATTTTCTCTCCTAGAGCCACCGGGTGTGAGTTTCTACGACAGCTTTACCAGGAATGCTCTACGTCATCCTTCACTTGTTGGAACCAACAGCGGATTCGTTGTGCCCACCCATGGTATTCCTTTCACCCATAGTTGCTATCCCAACGCTATCTGTTCCGCTGACCTTCACGAGAGAACAATCGAAGTCCGACTTACCAGGCATGTCGCACTTCATCAAGCAATCACCCTTCCATATTGCCCTTTGAATGTGGAAATAGATGACAGAGTGTCTTATTTGAAACAGTTCCATGGAATTGAACGCCACGAGTGTCCTTGGGGATGTGAACAGTTAACTAATCTTATCGGCGGCCGAAGAAGAGCAGAATTCTTCCAGATTTATGCTGAAATAGATACGATACTACTTGGGGGTGAATTTGAGATTCAGGTTCATTTAGCATATAAAATAGCCAGCGAGCAACACCTCGAAGCTTACTTGTGGCCATTCTTATCGAAAGCTGAGTTGCACGCTCGCAAGTATGATTTCCCTTGCCGCGGAGGTATTCATAGGATGTTAATTACAGTCATGGAACAACAAAGAGGTATCAATCACCCTTCAGTTGAATTGGCAAGAAAGTTTGAACACGGTACGTTTGGCTTGGGAGATAATCAGAGAGTGGATGAGGATGTGAACACTTAGTGGCGATTGAATCGACTTCAGGAACTGCAGTAATTTTCTGGTGCATGCTTTTCAATGATATTCTTTTAGCATAGCTCTCTTGAGATGTTGGCTAGTAAAAGATAGTTGAGGGAATAATGGAAGTTTGGAGCGTGCTATTTGTCTATCTTCCTTGAAGGTCGTCTGCATTCTGGTTCGAAGTATTCATTGGGATCGAGCAAGACGTTTTCTCTTTTCGAAGTATCGGTTAAGATAAATCAATATTCATGACAACCTGGCTCCCCAGATAGTGATGAACAACTTAAAGCTTGTCGCTAAGATATAGAATTCGTCTCCTGTTTCAAGCCAATCGGCTGTCATAATTCAGTCCTTGTGGGAATATGTCACCAAGATAGCTCATGATCTTCTCCCATGCATTGCTTCCTCTCCCTCCGCGTATCTCAACAACCTGAGTCAGATTTCCCGCAAATACTCATTAAACAAGGTTAAGACCACTGATATGAGCTTTAACCTCAGCCTTTATTTCTCACTCGAGGTGATCGAAAAATATTGTGAACTTAGTTTTGCATGTAGTGCAAATGAACGACTGTTGACCAAATACTTGACATCAAATATCTACACAAGTCTAGCGATCTATATCCTAACGCCAATGTATATATATCTCCTATTTTTGACTAGATAAATTTATTTCTTAATTGGTGGGAACTAAAATTGAATTTACCCCTCGGTTAAGTTATTGAGATCATCTACATACTGTGGTAAAACTCCTCCACACACTCGTCTATTGACATCATGTATCTTAAAAGCATTTCTCAAACAAAGAGTCTCTTATCCCTTCCAAAGGAACCAAATATAATCACTGGAAACTCGCAGATGAGGTCACCCAGCATCAGAATAATCTTACAAACCAGCGAGTCCCCTCCGCAACAGAAAAATTCCGCGTGCTAATATTTTCCAACTCATATTAAGTAGATCCAACTCTTGACTTCTCATCTTCTGACAATATAGCTTACTATTACATTGCTTCTCAGCACTTTCAACACACCCCTTCGAATTCGCAATTCAACAACTGACGTTTTCGTATTCGTCTAGAGAGATATCAAACCGTGATTCATTCATCCAGCGTATACATATCTAGGTAGTTACTCAACTACCTACTTTGTCAATCTACCTATCCCGAGGATTTTAACCGAGAATATAGAACAGCTCGAGACGGGGTTTTTAGATCGAGATTTTGACATATCAGTCATCTTTACTAGGTATTCTTCGGACGATGAAATGCAGGTGTACTTTGGAATATCATATTAATGTTTGCGCTACTAAGGAAAATTCAACGAAAATTAATACCCACCTACTCCCCAAATTACCAAATTACACAATAAACAACACTACCCAGCCAAAGAAATCCTCATCTAATAGACTTATGATGTCGTCTCATCGAAAATCCATCAAAATCTTACATCATCACCATCATCGCCATCATCATGGACTCCCACTTCCTATTTTCTCAATCCAATTCTTTCTTCCCTGAACTGACTGCTCACTTCGTAAGATTACATTTCCATGAATGGCGATATCGTTCTCGCAAATACGTAAATCCACAGCCCCCAGAAATCTTTGTATGAAAGCACTCGTAATTATCTAGGTAGGTACTCGATGATATATTTTCGCTCTACTTCCACACGCACAAAATCAATCACAAGAGCAAAAGTACGATAATAAGGAAGAAAAATCATAAAGGAATGCACTGTTCCCGTTTCAAATACGAAATATCATCCTTAAAATCGAAATCCCTAGAAAGAGCTTCAAGAATAAGTTTCTAGATGCGTGAAGAATATCAACGCTTAGCAATTAGGCTTAATTCATGTGCGATTCATCTCCACTTTATGTGTGTTATCTAGGTTTGACTACAAACAGATAGATAGACATGTCATGCCTTCAAATTTGTTTATGATTATCCAGCAATCACCTCTCAGGCTCGATATATCCATCGAATCTAGCCCCAGACATTTATAGAAGTATTACTCTTCCTCACATACACCGATCTCCCTTTCGTCGAACTTCGTCATCCCCAGTTTCCCGCCCCAGGCCACCTAATACACCTCCCTATCTCGGGATCTTCCATCCTCACTCTTCTTCTCTCCCTTCTTCTCCCCCGCCAAACCCCTCCCATCCACTTTCCTCCTCTCTCTACAATCCCCACAAATCTCCGTCATATTCTTATAAATCTCTTCCGTGCTCACACACTCACCTCTCCGTAATTTCCGACATAAAATATGGCTTGTGGTATCGTGGTGATGGCATGTGTAGGTGGTGATGTATTCTGTGCACATTTTGGATGGATTGGTTTTCCTGTGTTTGTCGATGGATGATTTGTAGATAGGAGGATTTTGCTGTAAGGAGTTGAAAATATTGAGACTCAGATGATGCGATGAACGAAATTATTTCCGAGAGTCTCGAGTTTCTGTATTTGAGAGAGAGAGAAAGAATGGTAATCGAACTTAAAATCCAGTATCGCAATTACAATCGCAATGGAGACAAGAGAAAAGCAGAGCTACGAAGCACTCTTATACCTACACAATCTAGCAATACGGCAAGAGAATGAAGGTTCACATTGCCGTAGAAAGATAAACAGAATTTCTGTGAATCGCGTGCAGATGTGAATAGGACAGTTGATTCACACAGGCGTTAAGGTAAATTGGCTGCTAATTTGTCGAAGATATTACGTATGAACAAATTGAAAATTTTCACTGTCTGGATTTACGGGTCAAATTTGATTAAATGATTGCCTGTAGTAATTATGAGGCATATTGACTCCGTAGAATGTGAACAGTGTGATTTATTCACACTCTATCCGTTATGCGACTTGATATTTAAAATAATGTCTAAATTTTCTTTAAATTTTCTTTATGAACGGAGTGATTCGCTCTCAAGTTCGACTTGAGAAATCGAATGACTTCCATATAAGCAATTAGAGTACCTAGTCTCGAGAAATTCTTCAATAACATGAAAATAATTCACTATATATAATACCGTAGGGAGATATACATCATGATTACTTGTCATCTACATCGATACTGCCATGGGCCACTGGCTATATCAAAATACTAGAAGCTCGCATCTAGCGCCTTAATCCAAATTGCGCGCGTTGAATCATCATTTGGTAGATCACCTCGGTTACCTAGAGGAGACTTCCTAATGAGGGGGATGTTCATTGAGACATCACTGGAACTCCAAATATACTATTCACAATCCCGCTTTCTGATAGAAGAAACACTTTTGTACTCGTCCACCACATGATTACGCCTCCGTACCCAATCTTCCGAAAGTCCAAAAAAGTGAGATTTGAATTTCAAATCTGGAGACATATAATCGTCTCATCCACATCGTCCGTTCCTATCATGCGGTATTCATGGCATTCCCTCCAATTTGCCCATCAGATATGATACAACAAAATCAGGCATGATGAACTCCCAAAGTATCGAGCACATATGGATCTGATTTTCTCATTCAGATTATCAGCTGCCCAAGGTCATCCCACGCATATGTTCCAGATTACGTCATGACTTGAAGTTTGCGAATTGGTGTTTGCAGTGTTTTCTCATCAGAGATAAAGTTTTGTCATTATGACCATCTTTGGAATATCGTCCGATCGCCTAACACAGCATGCTTCCCTTTTTCCAGACACAAGATGAGATTCGAACTGTCGTGATTCAAATATCAAAAGATAGGTAATTCTGAGAATATGATTACCATTTAATGCAGGGACTGATATGACATGTACCAATTTCTAAACATGTGTAATAAACCCATCTGAAATCTCTAATTGATTAATATCAAAATCTGAAGTTTCACCGTCATGCTTCAAAGCATCCCCGAATATCTGAAGGATCAATGCAAAGTTTAATTTCTGCAATTCTCCATCGATCCATACACACACTAATGGACATTCACATCTGTCATTCGTTAAGTGCAAGGAAATCAGCCGAGAAGAATGTAGCTGTCTAAATATCAGTCACCGAGGAGATTCCAATGCGATCGTTGGATTTACCGCATTTGATGGCACATAGGATCTGTACAAGTGGAGAAAACTAGTGCTCGTGCGGAAGGATTATGAGATAGACGAGATATTTGTATGATGCTTGCACGATCCCAACCGGAAAGCGTGCCGTTCGGCAACGGCATCTAGTTCCGAAAGAAAAAGCACTCATAGAATCTGATCGCAGCAAGCAATTAGGCGATCCGATACCGGAAACCGCAGGTCTCGTGATGATCTTGCTTGCTTTCTATTGGATTCCAGGCCTGTAATTTCGAATGGAGATGTGGAAGGTTTACGCTAGAGCTCCCAATTATCATTCCACTTGGCTAAAGATCAATAGAACATGAGATCCTCGCAATTAATGGTTATGGAGGGCGAGAATTTCGATGAAAAGCTAGGTCTAAAAGTTCCGAAGATCGATGTGATCATGTGTGACTTCCACCATTTTAAAAAAAAACATGAGATATAAAACCGACAGATTGCTTGATAGACAAAATCGATTATCTGTAGGGGTTCACAGATCTCGGTCTGTCAGATCTCGTGGCAAAAGTAATTTTGTAAGCAAATCTGGTGCAACCGAATACCAAAACACTGGAATAGGTCGGATCAATTCTCAAGAGCCGTGCGACGTGCAACCTTGTGCTTTGGTAGGACAATTGAATATTCCTCCTTTTGGCCGCACATTCACTGCAATAAGGTCGATCGCCATCATCTCAATGACGCGTATGTTTAAGGCTGAGGCGTAGAAAAGAAAAAGAAAAGTAAGACGCAGCAAAGAATCATTGAAGTAGAATTTTCTACGGTGTCGATTGAAGCCAATTCGTAGAATTTGTCGAAATAATGAAACAATAACCTTGCTGTCCGATTAAGCATAACTTTCCATGTAGTACAGTGGTGGAATGCCACCAGATCTCTCCAAGAATGTACAGATGACAATCGGTGGCTACTTGATCTGCGATCAACAGCCATACGACGATATCCTCGAACGAACGGCCACAGATCCCGGGTCGGACTATGAATTTGGGCTTCTCCAGATAGGTATAGATCTTCGATCGTTCGAGGGTTGCGACACGCCATCTTCCATTGTGAGTTCAGGTGTCATTGAAGCCAGTGTTTCCGATAGCTCAGACTGCAGTCCATTGTAAGATTCTAGTTTCGAGATTCTGAAGACATCATCCGCGAACTCACAAATTCGATATTTTAAATAATTTCGATATGAAAACTATTTCAGTAATCAAAACAATCTCAATACTTGAAAGAAATTCAATGTTCCAAAGCCCTGGATTGTAGCACTGCAGTCTGGACCATTGGAATCTCTGATCGAAGCTGAATGGAAGTCAGTTTCTTGTGATAGAAAAATGAGTAGAACGGAATTTATACTCGTGTGATTTAAATGAATACTGTTCATCGTGACCCTGAAACTTGTTTTCTTGAGGCCAACTTTTGTTTTTCCATAGAGCGAGGAAGTTCTAGAACCCGAACCAGACCAAATAGTAGCACATCATCTGGATCGAGCCGAAAATGCATATGTCAAAAGTTCATTCGGGTGTAGCCCGAACAGTAAGGAACCCGATTGTGCACACAATCGCTGATTTGTTGGGTGGGTTTTCTTCCACAGATCAGAAAAGGAAAGATGTGAATGCACTGTGAAAACGGTGAACAATATTGTGGAGCTTCACTTGCGTCGCACAAAAAGTGAAGCCTTTCCCTCTGATGGACATTCTGAGTGGATGGAGGAAGCCACAAATTCTGGGAAACCATAGGATCTTACAAATCTCAGCTTCTTAAATGCCGACGATGCCAGCCTCGCAATTGCGCGACAGGTGAAAAGTATCTGCACGACATACATATGTGCTTAACTCACCATGTGCTTAACTCACCGCTCATGTAGGCAGCTTATCAAATGTACACTGCGCGTAAAAATAGAGTTTTTTTTTCTTCGAATCCACATGTCCGTCTCAAAGTCCAATGAATCGGCCATTGGATCGAAGCCGAGCATACCGCGGACGCAGGCAGACGAAAGCATTCGTATTATTGGGCGGACAATTGAAGGAAAATACGAATACCCAGCGTCTTTGTAATCTTCGAGTCACACGCATAGTGGCTGGCCCAAATGAGTTTCGGGAGCATTGAGATGAGTGATTGAAGGGGTGGTAGATAGCAAGAAACTTCGAACACATCCCTAGTTACTCGATGGATGAGAGCCAACTAAAATGAAGATTTTCCGGCAGTTCTGGAAAAAGAGGGTCTAGCAAGGCCCGAGAAGAATAACTAGTTGGCCTGAAGATCTAGGAGCAAGGTTACCGCCACTACCCGGCTAATAACTCCGGATATGAATATGAATACCAAGAGAGTGTAAAAGGACGAATAAGCGCCTAATGAGTGGTCATTAATGGAAATGCGTATCCTAGTCAAGCTGCACAATGCATACATACACTTCAGCGCAGACGAGGAAAGGGATGAAAAGGATACGGCGGGAAACTTGTCTCGAAACTCTTCTTGTCAACATCCATCAAAGAAAGCAGGCTGGCAGATGGCAGGTCTGCAGCCTCCCCTCGATTTCTCCTTGACTTAGCCCTTTGGCCAATTAGATTCTATGTATCTACCTAGCACGTGCGTGCGGAGTAGGATTTCAATGTGCAGCAGGTGTGCACTGTTCAAGGAGTGCCCAGTCCATAGTAGGTATGTCATGGTCCCTGAAAACTACGACGGAGTAGGTGGAGGGTGGATACTGTCAAACTACCTAGGTAGACATCCAGGTTGGCCGAGGAGCCTCCCTGGTCTTTATTTATTCGGGATCTGGAAGAGGGAATGGTATAATGGTATCACCCCAGGTATCTATTGAATTGAGTACCAGGTGGATAGATACGTACCTAGTATATACACACATACATGTACATAGACGAGATCATATGTGAGGTACACCCAAGGAGAATTAATGCCATCGAACGAATAGGGGATTTCACAATGGCATTGAACCAATGAACGTTAAGATATTGGTGCTCATACTCCCCAAAAGAAATACAAAAGAAAAGTCTCAGGAGTGGCCACATACAAATACGACTTATTGCACTATTAACCTACCACCTCCTAGACGTGCTAAATGGAATGGCTCGAATGGGTAAGGTTAGCCTCCAGACCAACCGACCTAGAGCTCGTCGACCGGTTTATCGACGGCGTGGTCTATGATCGGCCACCCCCGGGACTGTATTGAGTGTATGTGTAGTAGAGTACCTAGAGAGTACGTAACAGGTATATCACATCTCAGACCAAGCTAAACTTCTCAACTTTAACCCATTTTCCCTCGAGCCAGTCAGTCCAGTCAGTCCACTCAACTCACCCAAAATAGAGAGGAAATAGCCATCCCATCCCATCCCATCCCATCCCATACAGTAGATAGTGTCTCAATTTAGTAGACCGGACCGAGAAACCCTGATTGAAGAAGACCCTGAATCTTTTTTTGAGTACTCAGTACCTGAATCATGCAATAAAGTAGAAACCAATCCATAAAAAATTATACCTGTAAGGCTACCTATCAACCTCCTTCCGCTCGACGATTATTAGTCCTTCACACATATCAATTTCGTAATGTCCCTTCATTTACTATAGTACTATTGGGAATAGTAAAATAGATAGTTAGGCATTTGCTAATTTGTAAATCCTAATTCCTCACCTCTCATTCGTTCCTTTCTCTCTCTCTTCCTCTATTTGTATTTCCATTTTATTCAAGTTAATCTTAATTTTGTTCCTTTTTAATAGGTAGGTAGGTAGCTGTTATGGATGTCCAAGTTTCAATTGATCAAAGCAGCTTTGCTCTTTTTTTCACACCTCCACTTATTACGTCTAGATGCAACCATGCATTGTACTCGCAGTCTCTACTTCCTCGACCGTCTCTCCTTCGTCTTATTATTCTCTTGCTCCGTCATGAAAAGTATAAGTACTCGAATGTACGCTCCTATTGGCATAGCTCTTTTCAAGATATTATGACCTTCTTGACACGGTCTCATAGCATGTCAACCTGTTTGATTTAGTATCAACCTCTCTTTCACTTCAGAAAAATATTACAACTCGGGTCAGTGATTGTATTATATATGTTACCGATTCGGAACTTTGTTGCCCTTGTCGCGCCATAATCATTCACTTCGATTCTATCGATAACGGATACCCATCTTCACAACGAGTTCTGGATTGTTTATATGATCCGAGTCATTGGCGTTTGGTACACACAGCATTCATTCGATACCCTTTGCACCCTTACTAATGCATATCGTCTTATAACAGAACGGCAATGGCGTATCATTCCCAGGCTGGACCATCCAACCCAAATCTTCATGCTCAACAACAATACCAGCAAGGAGCCGCAAGTTACGGCAATCCTTCCGGTGGAAATGGAAATGGAGGCCAAGAACCAGAGGCAGGTTTCGATACTGTTAATTGGTACCGACATTACCTACAGTGCCATCACTACTTTCTCGACCAAGCCCAACATGATTTCTATGTTCAGGCCGTGGCAGCATTTATAAACGTTCAGCTGCCTTATCAAAAGCAGCCCTACCCAGTCCATCGAGCTTCGGCCGCATGGTCTTTGAAGAATCTTTCCGATCGTCAACAAGAGGAAGAACCCCACCCTCCCCCAGGGTATCCGCAATCGGTGTCCTTGATTCCGTACATCAGAAGGTTGATAGTCACTGGTCACGACGATCCTCGAATCATGGGAACTTGGTTCGGTGCAAATTGGGTTCAGGGGATAGGGACCATACATGAACTGGAGCGACGCAACTACCTTTTCGCATCAAAAAGTAAGGAATGGCTTGATGTAAAGAAATACTACGATGATTCGCTGGCCGCAGAACAATCCACGCCTTACATGATTCCTTTGCCGAGAATTGAAGAGGCAGAGCTTTCCTCTGCGGATGAAGCTTGGAGTGGTTGGATGGCCATGCAGGATTGGGTGATCGGTCCCAGAACACCACAAAGTTTAAAGAGGCCCCTTTCACCTCCACGTTCACACACGCCGTATTATAATTCACCACGAATCAAGAAGGAGAGCGATTTAGATAACTGAGAGTTCCAGTACAGATAGGATTTTCAGTCAGGGTCTTTGGGCCTGATTTTGTAGGAGCATCAGGTGGTAAATTTACATGAGATCACGCTGGCCATAGGAGTTATAGATATCCAGGAATTAGGTCGTAACATGAGGTTTGTGACATTTGATTATCAGGGTTATTAGTTGCAGGTTCTTCTCTCGTATTTTGTACAATAAAATATCATCCACATGTCTGAAAGCCCATTTGCTCATGTTAGAGTTTTGATGTGCTGCATATCGTATTTTCAAAACCCCATTGCGTCTACCCACCTGCAGGCATGGTAATTCCGGGCGTAAAAGTAAATTATTGGTCATGGGGGGGGGGAATGGTTCAGCCGTGTCAGGGCTCTGAACGCTAAGACAAGGCTGAGAGAGCAACCCTTCAATGATTGGTCTCCACAACTACGTGCATTATCTGTGGGCGCTCCATTTCCATTTGAATTGAACTTTACTTCTAGATTCACCAACACACTTTCTCCCACTCACAACAGATCCTTTCCTTACTTTATCATTATTTCACATTTTGTATTCTTGCTACTAACCTTTCTCATTATACCTTAATCTGATAGTGAAGTTTTTCAATTTGTATGCGACGGATCTAATGGGCAGTTACTGATCTAAATTTCATTGTACGATTCAAAGATGACCGCACAAGCTGCCATCGCCAATTGGCAAACGCTACTGAACAATAGCCTTGCCTCGAGGCTCGACTTCGAACCATTCACAGATTACATTCGTATATTATATTCGAGGAACCCACTACCATCTCAATATATATGCGAGATTTTCCTACGTCCCGACAAATACAATGATATACATGCCGATCCACGGGTATTACGTTATGTACAAATATTGCTAGCAGAAGGATTCATTGATTGTGCCGGGATTCTTCGAGTTTTGTTGAAATACTCTTCACTCTGGAGTTATATGCAAGATGCGCACGTGCGTAGCGAATCCAGTGATGGTGCAGACAAGACCAAAAGAGTAAAGGGAGGGAATAGAAGGTGGAAAATGTCATATTCTGCCGAAGAGATGATGTTGTACCGACTTGCGAAAACAGTCTCCACTGGTATACGGCCTAAGGATGTCCAAGAAGCAGTTGACCTACTGATGATTTGTATCCAATGGATGGATATGGTTGCTACCAGTATGGGTAGAGGGGCGCACGAGATACTGGATATCGAAGCTCATGTGGAGGAGATTGGAATGGTGGGCATGGCTTTGGGAACTTTAATGGTTGCAGTAGTTGGGAATGCAAAGATCTTAGGGGCTATACAACATGGTCGCTGCCCAAAAGGTATTCATGCTTTATTCTAGTGCCTGAATAGTGCCGCTCAGATGCTTATTTTAACCAACAGGGACCGGCATTGACCTCGGAAAGGCTATGGCTGGATTTGTTCCTTTGTTACTTCAAAGCTCCCCACAGAATGTACAACGATTAGACGTATTCCGAACACAGACTCTGATTACGATTTTACCCGTTGACAAAAAGGAGCGAGCCGCCAATGCGGAGATTGACGAGATTTTGGATTCCACAATTGGTATGAACATTGACAATATCGTGGTCGCTGATCTACCAACTATCAACTCTCGAGCGGGTCTATACATTTATTTGAGCTCTATTGTAAGTATCATGATTTTCATAATGAGTATCTCCGATGTAAACTGACCGATTCTAGCTTGTTGGTAGGCCTCTCGTCGACGATAGTGCAATCTTTGCATATCTGCACAATAGATATCAGGTAATTGCAATCAATCATCCTGCAAAATCTTTACTGATCATTGCAAGGGAGACGTCCAATCGACGACAGTAGATCTTATACTTGCGTCGTTCGATGTCTTGGCCAATGCAACTTTTCGAAACGAAGGGCCACAAACCACAACTATTCTACGATCATTTTTGATCAACAAAGTTCCCTTACTCGTCTCAACTCTCGCAACATCCTTTTTTCCACCATTAACATCAGAATTTTGTATCACGGAAGCTTTGAGTCATGTCGATACTAATGCATTTCCCACACTTTCTACTCTGTTTGCAGAGTCGACTAATAATGACATGTTCTCAGATTCCGTTAGACAGGATTTCTGCTTCGCTTGCTGTTTACATGGCTTGATTCCGGAATCCAGTATTGAAACCCTACTAGGTGATATACCTATGCAAAGCTTACCTGCCGGTGGAAGGTATTCCAAGCAGGATCTTGTTCAACAATGTCTTTCTGACTCGGAGCGAGCCGAAGGATTGATTTCCGAATTAGAAAATATGGACGGCAACGCTGGCGCTGTTAGTCAGGCAATTGCCGAGGTATGTATCTCGACTATATACTGATAAACATGACTAACTTATAATAGGTTATAAAGCATATGTGTGGTAATAAGGAGACAATGACCTTGAAGACGTTGTGTAGTCAACTAGCTCGTAATCCATCTTCTTTGGATATAATGCTTCTCTTCAATAAGCCTACATCCTTTTTGCAACCAATTTGTGAGCTTCTTGATAATTGGCGATATGATGAAGACCAGGGAGAATACCAACCTGTTTATGAAGAGTTTGGATCAATATTGCTCCTGGTAGTGTCATTCGCGCATCGCTACAACCTTACAACGGTCGACTTGGGCATCAAAAACCCAGCGGAGTCATTTGTAGCAAAGCTACTCGTTCAAGGCCATCTCAGTCGAGCATTGGATCCATTATCTCAGCAAGATCAAAATCATTTAGACGGATGGATCAGGGGGCTGTTTGAGCCAGAAGGTGGCGGGCTTGGAGATGAGCTGATGTCATCTTGCCCACCACAAGAGTTTTACCTCTTGGTGCCCACTCTTTTTCATCATATTGTGCTAGCACTTAGCACAGAGACTCTCTCGGAAGAAGGTTTGAAAGGTGGTCTGGAATTCATGGTTGAACCATTTTTGCTTCCTTCTCTCATTCCGGGCATCACATGGCTGTCGGCTCATCTGTGGGAAGCACGCCCCCAGGCGACTTATGTTCTTCAGATCCTGTCAGCTTTAATCAAAAGTCCCCCATCCATATCAAACAACATGGAAGCATCCCACCTACTCAACGCAATCCTCAAGATCATAGCCCAAAGTCTTGAACAAAGTCTCCGATGGCTTCAGCGCGCGGAGCCTCACCGTCACGACATTGATTCGATTTCGAAAGCACTGGAGTCGAACGTAGGCTGGGAACGAAGAGGTGCTAGTAAATACAGCGAGTTAGAAGTATGGACAGCCACACCTGGGGGTGGATTGGCTGCCAGCATAAAGCACACAATTGTTACCCTCGTTCAATGGGGTCTTCAATGTGACCGCAACCCTGGTATGCAAATTATGCCTGCATCCTATACTCATCGACAAGTTGTTGCTGGATTGAAAATGCTCGGTGCGAAACGATTATTGAATATCATTATCGAGGAAGTGAAAACACAAACCGAAGCTGGTAATGGAAGCGTGGTACTGGACATTGCCATTTCATTAATATGCGCTCCAGATTCTGCAAGTTTTGATTCAGGCTCAGGAATAGATATTATGAGTGGTAATACACCACAACTACTTCAACGACGACTAACTCTAAGAGAAGCTTTAAAGGCAGAAGCAGAAAACATGCCGAAAGTCCACAAGACTGACACTTTTCACGCAGAAACAGTTATTAGGCTGCATAGAAGAGTTGAAGCACAGTCAGTCATACAACAACAGCTACTGCCAGATGATAATGGTATGGGTGGTTTGAATGAGGTTATGGGAGATGCTGTAATGGGAGATTCTGGTCTTGGACCAGTCGATCAACCTAATCTTGATATGCATGACATGGGTGCTGGCAGCGAAGATTTAATGATGATGGGTGGAAGCGGCCATGGTGGTGATCTACTAGATGCTTTCGGAGGTGATGGTTTGGGAGATGGAATGGGATTCTAGATGTCTTATTATTTTGCATGGTGTTAGGAAACGGGAAGTGGAAAGGGATATTCTTGGGTGTAGAAAAACAAGGCAGCGTTGAGCTTTTGCGTCACACATGGATCCTTCATGGGGGAAACAATGTTGGGAAAACTATAATAATTTATCAGGAAATCATGGAAATTTTCAAATATCATAAATACCTAGTACATAAGTACCTTCTAATGAAAAACTTACTCAAGTATGATAAATCGATGAAGAGCATGAGCACAAGCTTCTCAGGACCTATCACGTGTATTTGGCGTTCTGCATCAACAAGGATTATATCAATGGTCTAGCGCGACGCTAAGATAATGAGAAAATAATTTTTTGATATCGAAATCTCTAGCTACAGGAAGAGAGAAACGAATCTTCCACGCAATCCGCGCGATAACTCGAGCAAATTCACATCAATGGCTGGTAAAAAGAGGAAGGCCTCAGGGCAAAGCGTCAAAAGTCGCACGCAAGATTTCGACAAGTCCAAAGGAAAAGTAGCCTTTACAACATATGAAGATATCGCCGACTCCGAGGATGAATTCCACATCAACAGAGATAAAGTTATGTTGGATGATGAACCAAATGCGAAGCGTCAAAGGAAATCGAATTATGACGGTTAGATTCATTGACATTATGTATTTAATAGTAGCTAAAGGTTCTTACAGATGAATTAGTCGAGTTGTCGGACGAAGAGGTATTAGGGTACTCCGACGAGAGCTCTGAAGAAGAAGAAGAAGAAGAAGCAGAAGAAGCAGAAGAATACGAGGCGCCGAAATCGAAGAAATCGAAATCTCAAGAAAATAATGAGGAAGGTACGGAAGAGGAAGATGAATATGCTGAGGGATGGGGATCTTCGAAGCGCGATTACTATGATGCGGATAACATCGAAACGGAAGCCGACGCCCTGATGGAAGAAGAGGAGGCTAAACGATTACAACAAAAAAGGCTTTCAAAATTGTCCAAAGCTTCTTTCGGTCTCGATGAACTTGACATCAAATGGCTCCCTGCGAGCGATGACGAGGATGGTCCGGGAGGTGCTCTTAAAAAGGGCAAGGGGGGCAACAAAGAGGAAGGCGATGAATATGAAGAGGGGGATGTGGTAACAGAGGTTTTGAAGGATATTGAGATCACAGAAGAGATGAGTCCGGAAGAAAGATTAAGAATACTATATTCAAGATATCCGGAATTCGAGTTTCTGGCAGACGAATTTTTAGAACTAGCACCTGTTCTTCAAGATTTATTGAAGGAAGTAGACCAGTTGCCTGAGTATGAAATCGACGCGATACCTTTTACAGTCACAAAAGCTAGGGCTTTAGCAGCTTACACATCTACTATCGCCATGTACTTTTCGCTTCTGACCTCTCCATCACAGCGTCCTGACGGAGAGGGAAAGACTATGAATCCACAAGAATTGCGAGATCATGAGATTATGGATTATTTAAAGTCAACTCGAGAGTTATGGTTGAGGGTCAAGTCAATTGACGTCACAAAGTTGGAGGGAGACTCGGAAGATGAAAACGAGGATATATCTATGGACGGCGTGGAGGATACACCCACATCAGAAGAGGAGATGGAGACAATCCGACCAACGAAGAAATCCAGAAAGGAATTGGCTCGCGCTGCTGCTGCTGAAAGAGCGGCCGCAAAACGTAGCAAACAGATCCAGGAAGCAGAGGAAGATTTGGCAGGTCTTGATGATCTCGTATCTAAAGCTAAGAAGTCAAAGAAGGTATCGAGAGCTGTTGTTGAAGCAGACGATGATTCCGATTTCGGCGAAGAAGAATCTATGGATGCCAAGGCTGCGGAGGAGAAGGCCAAAAGAAAGAAGTCACTCAAGTTCTACACATCACAAATCGCTCAGAAAGCGAACAAGAGAGCAGACGCAGGGAGGGGAGCTGGTGGTGACGAGGATCTACCTTATAGAGAAAGGCTCAGAGATCGCCAGGCACGACTCAATCTTGAGGCCGAGAAGCGTGGAAAGAAATTGGATGAGTACGGAAGAGGTACTGCTCTGGGTGGAGAGAGCGACGACGACGATCAAGAAGCTGTTGCTGGCGAAGTTCGAGGCGATGAAGACGAGTACTATGACATGGTTGCACAGACATCAAAGAAACGCAAGGATGATAAAGAGGCAAAGTATGCCGCAATTTCTGAAGCGAAGAAGGCTGGAAAGTTGGCAAGAGTAGTAGAAGTGGAGAATGATGAAGATGGTAAGAGAGCTATCGGATATGTAATTGAGAAGAATAAGGGATTGGCGCCAAAGAGGAAGAAGGAGGTCAGAAACCCGAGAGTGAAGAAGAGGATGAAGTATGACGAGAAGAAGAAGAAGCTGGGCAGTATGAGAGCTGTGTACAAGGGTGGAGAAGAGAGAGGTGGTTATGGTGGTGAGAAAACCGGTATCAAGACTGGTTTGGTTAAGAGTAGAAAGTTGTAGGATATTAGCTACGAAGGCAAAGCATTCCATGCATCTAGGTTCAACATGGTTTCGTCTAAAATCCCTTCATGTAAGGGATCCTTACTCCAGTAGAGTTAGTTCCAGTCAATACGTTAATCTTATGCAATACCTAGTCTTACCTTCAAGGTTAGTAAAGCGTGGTACCAAAACGACTAGATCCTTTGGCAGGTGGGAGATTGGTGTTCTCACAATCAATAGCTCGGAATACAAAGGGTAGTACAGTTTTCACATATTGTTTCTACGTATGGCGTTTAGACTTCTTCCATACCTTCTTCTTGGGATTTGGAGTTGTGCAAAGGCGTTGAAATGTCTCAGCTCTGTTTGTTGCAGTACGCCCTCATTTCCAGAAAATCCCCTACTGGATGACTAGTGAATTCACATACTAGGCAGGGAGACATCGACTTCCAGACTCTTCGCAATTTGCTTTCAATGGTTTGGTTGCGGATGAGGGATTTCCCGCTCACCTGCTCGATTCTTGAGAACGCAAAAGGTATCAGATGCATATATAGCGGAGTTTATGTTCCTTTATACACAGGCACTACGGGGAGATATATTTCTTGCCCTTCTGCAATGTTTGGGGAAGTGTGGGTGAGATTTGTTCGATTCGGTTATCATGCGTTTTTGGACATTTTCCTTGTTTGGTTTGGTTTTTCTGGGAATCTGTGATGCGGGACCGGTGCTTTTGTACCGAGAGTCAGATTTTGAAGGGGAGTGTTGTGATTTGGCAAGTTCTTCTTATGATGCATCAGTTCGCTAATTGTACATGAGGTGAAGAGGTTCTAATTTTCTCTTAGTGAGTCATCTTGTTTCCTAGAAGCTGCTTCTTGCCCAAATTTCGCCGAGTCTGCGAGATAGCTCATGCTTTTATGTGCTTGTAGGATAATGCTAATCTTTTGGTCAAAGGTTAGGACAGTGTGATTTCAATACTGCTAATTGTACCAAAACTTCCGCCCCGAATCACCTTCCAAATCGCAGAGATGTAGCACAATGTGGTAAAAGTGCTCCTCAGGGAAGTCAAGCATGTCCTCTGAATACTTGCTGTAGCGGTAATGGATACTGCGGGGTATGTATTTTTGATTTCCGTATGATACGCATAAATCTTGCTGCAGCATCGATTAATATACAACATACTCGTAACTTACTTGTAATCACAGACCACATCCGCCTATTGCATCAACGCCGACCCCATCAACGGCAACGCACCATGTCAACACGGTTTCGGCGCCTGCGGCCTGATAAACTTCCCCAGCTGCGGTTCGGGCAGCACAACCGCCAGCAACGGACGCAGAGTATCCTACTGGCAAATTGGCAGCGCAACGCGTTCCTGCAACGCTCTCCCCGTGTCTCTTATTCCGACCCAAAATATCACGCATCTCATCTTCGCCTTCATGTCTATCTCGCCTAATTCTTTCCACGTGGTCCCTTTCGATACTACGGCGGTACCTCTCATGTATCACTTTACTGCTCTCGCTTCTGCAACTTTGGCAACGTATATGGCTATTGGCGGCGGCGGGTCGAGTGTCCTGCCGCCGATTTGGAGTCAGATGGTGTCGGATCAGGGGAATCGAGCGGCGTTTATTAGTAGTGTGGAGGGATGGCTGAGTACGTTTAATTTCCAGGGCGTAGATCTCGATTGGGAGTTTCCGAGTAGTGATAATGATCGAGATGGGTTTGTGGCGTTGGTGAGGGAGATGCGGGAGAGTTTTACTGCGAACTATCCAGGGAAAAATTGGGGAATTAGTGTGGTTCTGTGAGTCGTTTTCGCTTCTTTAATCGTCTATCTGTTTTCTCCTTTGCACAAGTGATAAAAAACTCATGAGCTTGAACTGAACTAATAACGAAATAGACCACCAGATATTTCCTCCCTCCAATTCTTCGATCTCATAAACCTAGAACCCTACATCACCTTCTTCAACTTCATGTCCTACGACCTGCACGGCCCATGGGAAGCCTCCAACCCCTCACTGGGCGCGTTCGTGCGTGCGCAAACCTCTCTGCCCGATATCACCAGCGCCATTTCCCCCCTCTGGTTCGCAGGCGTCGATCCCGCGAAAGTGAATCTGGGACTTGCGGCCTACGGACGCGGCTACACGCTTGCGAGTCCCGCGTGTGCGGATCTCGGATGTGCGTATACGGGACCCAGCGAACCTGGCCCGTGTACCACCGAACCAGGCATTCTGAGTATGAGAGAGATTGAGGTGTTGGTGCAGCGAGAGGACCTGAAACCGTCGTGGGTGGGTGCTAGTGCGGCGGAGCAGGGGGGCGTGGGCGTCAAGCAGATGGTGTTTGGAAAGGGGATACAGTGGATGGGGTTTGATGATCAGGAGAGCTGGGCGGTGAAGAGGAAATTTGCGGATGCGCTTTGTATTGGGGGAACGGTGGTTTGGAGTGTGGATTTGCAGGGGGTGGGGACGTGAGTATTTTGGGGTTTCTTTGTTGTTGCTTTTTGGGGGGGGATCTATGTGGAAGATTTGCTGATGAGTTTTCTAGTGGTGATGGCAATTTTGGGCCGGGGTTTTAAGGAGTGGTGGTGAGATTTATGGGGGCTTGGAGTTGGAGTAATATGGAGGCGTTGAGGTGTGGATGGATTTTACGAAATCTCTTCTCTTTAGTATACATCTTTCATGGATAGGTAGTGTTTGCAAGCGATGTATAAGTTGAAGCTGTCATCTTCCAGTCAATCTATTCTATGTTGTCTTAAATCTTTCTTGGATATTAAACATTTGCATCTTGATTCAAGCGGTGACCTCACCGGTCTTAACGTTCATGAAGGAGGTTTGATATCTATGTAAACTATCAATAACGCACCGAACTCCTAAGATGCAACTCCTCGAGCCCGAATATTAGCATTTAATCCGAGCTATTGCAGCCTCTGGCTATTGACATTAACCTGGAGTCCACTTCTCGGCTATAACAGATTCGGAAGTCATGCAGGTGTTCCCCCCGCTGTTATATCTCCTTACCCCAACAATTATAGGAGGTAGAATATCTCAGATACTTTCTCTCTCGATCTATATTACTTTACTCGATTGGTATTATCGATCTATATATACAAATGGACATAATCTGCGGACGGGATCCCGTTTTTGCATCTGGGTGGACGGACGAGAGGAATGAATGTGGGATAACGCCTACACGCCGCTTACTACATGGGACTTAAAAGCTAATGCCGGTGAAAAGGAGATATGGGTGAGAAAGAAAATCGATTATAGAATAGTAAAAGACCAACCTTATAATGAAGTCTAGATGAATGCATGAATAAGGAGGAATGATAATGGAGGTGCAGTAGTGGAAAGTTAATTGATTAAGCGAATCAAGGAGATAGAATTAAGTGTGAGAGGGGCTACTACTATACTAATATTATAGATTTGTAGGATGATTATCGATATGAGAGAAACATGTCCAATATTGCCATCGATTTGGTAACATATTATTGCGGCGTAGGTAATCAATATGAATCATTGAACCCTGAGATCTAATAAGCAGCCACTAGATCAGATCTCTTGCGATCTGCAACAAATTTCAGGCGGGAAGTATAATCATTACATCATTTATCAGAAAAAAAGTCATGGTAAGTACCGACGGCAGTTTGGCAGTGGGAGGAACTAGTATAGGGCGTTCTTTCGGTAGGAGAAGGGGAAGTCCGTGGTGCATAGCTGCTGCAGAGTCAGAACTAGTTAGAAACACACATTAGATTATGTGAAGGTCGGCGACTTGGAAAATTGGAGGTCACAGAGTATCTCCGGAGAACGTTTAGAAAATTTGCATTGTAGAATATTGTTGCCGGCACAAAACTATATTATATACAGATATTATTGCAAAGATCGAATCTCATTGCTCAATTTCTCAAAGAGATGGGTATTTTCATCAACCGACCGTTCCCTTGACGCCCCTTTGACTCCTTAGATAGATATAACTTTTCAAAAACCCATAGCCTATTCTACACAGAATATCGCGGCTTGTAAGGAACCGCCATACTCAAATCCCCTTCATCGATGGATTCATCTTTAGAATTCGTCGTGTAGCGAAAGGTATCTTCACTTCTTGGTCTCGTATCACTATCTCTCTTTCCTATCTCGTTTTCGTCGCTTTTACATTCATCACTACTCCCTCTCCCCTCCCCCTCAGCTGCCATTCTCATAAAACTCGAAATGCTGGCATCACTTCCAATCTCTTCAATTGCATCCAGATTCCTTGAGCGTCTTGTTGATCTGTTTTCTCGCTCTTGAATATCACCTAATTCAAGATCGTCGTGTGAGAGTTTTCGTGAGGTACGAGAGCCTTTTGGAGTAGCGACTGTTGTAGATCCTGAGAATGGTCCCTTGTCCGCTGAGGAGATGGCATAATGCTCATTTCGGCTGGAATGTAAAGAGCGGGGAAGGATAAAAGGTATGTAACGTGTGAAGAAAGGTTTCGTGGCAGGAACGGATGCTCCAATCTAAGATTTTGTTAGAATTGTTCACTGTGTATCCTGTGACGTGAAGATAAAATGGAGATGCTTACTATGCCAATATAAAGCTCAACGGTACTGCTTATCCAAACATAATAAGTGTCCCATGTCATATCCGGTGAAACCAACTCTACATAAGTGTAGTATGTTCTCACAGCCCCAGCTACACAGACGAGAAATCCGGCGCCGAAGAGAAAAATAATGATGAGCCGTTGACGATGTGAGATCTGCAATTGTAGCATTTTTGGGATTGGGAATAAAACGACGATACAGTCAGTCACAGTATTTATGGTTCCAGCAACGGTGACATGAACAGTTTCATTGATGCATTCTGGCTGGGGAGCGAACGTTATAAGCCAGTAATGAGAGGGTGGTCTGATTTTTGAGTAAGTCAATGATATTCATGTGACCCAAGCCGGGTATCAAGATGTGAGCCCACTAACCGGCATTGAAAAATAGTAACGATGATGAATATAAGGCCTTGAGCGGCGATTATAATGAAAGCCGCAATAGTCAATATCTTGAACCTTCGCCCGCTTGATAGGATTCGGTAATATAATGCCAACATAGAACATTTTGTGAGAGTTTGTCCAAGAGTGAAAACGATTTGTGTGATTATAACGTATTGTAGGCCAAAGGTAACCCGATTAAATGGAACATCCCATATATGTCGATTGAAGTGGAACTTTTTCTCTGCGAGAATGGCGAGGATAGCAAATGCTGTCGATGGCAGCATTGCTGCAAGTATGAGCCAGTCATCCAATCCGAAAGTCTTTGACATTACAAGTCGAGTGTAGAGCCTGATGAATATTATGGATAGAACTAGAGGCAATAATATTAAAGTAACGATTAAAACTCCATACCCTCGCGTTATAGGGCTGTCATAATTCGGAACTGGCCAAGAGGCGATGATCTCAGGAGAGGGAAGCTGCATCTTGAAAAGTATGTGGTCAACATCAATGCAAGATGAGGGTACATTAGTTGAAGTATATAGTCGTAGGGAAACAGTCAAATAAGAAAGTAACAATGCTAACAGCTCACTACTGCGGCTCCAAAAAAAGTATCAAGGGAAAGATCCGTGCCTAACGCAAAGGAACTACACCTTGATATACTAGACCTGTAGGGGGACGGGATAGAAAGTATCTTTCCCTCACATACTTCAATAATATATGCTTCTCAACTACTGCAAGCCACCAGATTTGTTGCGGGAAACCCATGTTTGTGTCACGAATCCTCAATCTTTTATTGATCAACGCATGGCATTGGCAGATCTCCAATTATCCACTAGGCTAATCATATTGAGGGTATCATTTAGAATCTCCAATTGTCCTCTAGACTATGAGCACAGATGTCTGTATTTTGTTTTGACGAACGGCGACTACTTGTTATAAAGTTCAATGACAGAGCTAGCCTAGGGAACGTTCAAGGGAGGTGACTTGATGAAAGTCTTGAAATGTGGACGATGTAAGATCCCGTTCAATATGAGGGCAAGTCCCTGAGAGATTGAGTATAACGCACGGACTATATTCTCCTATTGGGCATTAGCAGACGAATGAAGATCGAGTACGGTGTTGAATCGATAGGTTCCCCGGACAAGGTTATTGGGCACTGCCAAATTGCGGGGATTAGCTTCAGAAGTATGGATGGGGCATGGCTCTGGACGGCTCGAATAGTCAATGTAAGATCGTGTTCGTCTAACGTTACAAGCTGTAGTACCGGCAACAATGTTATTCCCATTCTCCCTTAAACAGGAAATCTTGAATATGAGGAACTCTCAAATGATGAATCAGGATTTCTGGTTCGGGAATAGACTACGCTGAGAGTTGATGACTCGCAACGGCGTGCACTGTAGGAAAAAGCAACTAAAAAGTCAAGTACCGAGTGTAATCCACCCTCAAGGATCGTTGCTGCATAGGGCTCGATGTGACCACCGATTTAACGCCGAAAAAGAAAAGGAAATGAAAGGGGTCTTCGCAAGCTTTTCTACTTCGATCTCCGGTCTCCAGAATCCCAACACTCTGGAATCGACAAATATGATCAACATGATCTATCATCCGAAACACAACAGGGCGACCAACACTTCCTTTTGAGGCTTGTAAAACACCAAGATATGTTGCAGTTTGAGAACGATTCCGAAGGGCCCAGTAATACAGAGATGAGGATATTACTTTCAAACGACAAACGAAAATGAGCACCAGTCATGGCACAATGGGAATTACTCGCACATCGGTTTTAGGAATGCTTAATCTTCGGCAACTGAATTTTGACAGTGCTTTGTTTATAGCACAATTGTGATAGACGTCTGTGAGAACCCACCTCGGCTCGTCCACTTCTCGGTTTCCCTCGACGATCTAGAGGCCCGTGCAGTTGCACCTGTACCGGTGGAGATACTGTCAAAAAGAAAGAAGCAAACAAACAGCGCATGCATTATCTACGAAAATTTGATCACAACTGGTAAATCTCCAATTGTGTCTCTACCGTCTAGGATCTTGACCGTTTCTCGTCTAATCCTCGAGCTAGATCTGTATAGTCTGCAGATGCATTTCTTCTTCCACAACAGATTCTGCATGTTTCCTCATCTAGCACTCGGCAAAACTCCACTTCACCAAAACCTCGCGCCAACATCGTCCTAACCATCCAGCGTTATCTTATCTGCTTAGCAGTTTTCTCTCGGGCATCTTTTGAAAAATTACTCTCGTTTTGTTTTTTCTGTGATTCGCCTCTTCGTACGGACAAACTGATCGTCTCCGAGCTTGTGGTCAGACCGCTAAAGGACATTGTCACTAACCTCTTACCCCTCTAGTTCCCTCTATTTCTTTTTCCTTACGAGAAGAATCACGAATCAGCGTGCATTGAGAGATTTTTTCTCGATTTTCCGATCCGTGAATCCTTGATTTCTGCTTCTACCATTTCTTTTTCGTCCCAATTCATCTGGCCCCGATGATGATGATGATGCATTGCAATTCAGGATCTGTATACGCTCGAGGCCTTTTAGTGCTGACCTTTTGAATACGTTGAAGCAGTGTCGAAAAATATCGGACCATCTGATATCGTATCAGGTGATACATCATGTTCATGTAAATTTCTTTTGTTCTCGATATCCACCTAGGTCGCTGAATGGTCATGAGAAGTCAGGATGAATTGAATCTACGATTCTCACGACAATTCTACGGAGAAGACCAAACGCGGACAGATTCCGATACAAAAAATATAGAAAGAGGGGTAGATGCAAAGATCCAAGTGAGGGTCCTGAACTATAGCCAACTAGTGTTGAGGTACCTGGGGACATACCGGCAGTCTGGAGCCAGGTTAGTTTTGTGGAGTAGCTTTAAGGAAAATGACTCTATAGGGGGATTAGCGTTTGTTCAAATGAATTGTCTAGGCACACAGCTAACACATAGTCGAACATGAATGCCGTGAATCTATACTTGATTTATTGTCTCATACAAGAAGAGAGAATACCGAGAGTATGGTACCAAAACTCTCCGTGGCTGTAATTGTATACTAGTATAGTAAATGTAAGTCTATTGGATAAACAGTTAATGCTCTTCGGACAATGACTGAGAGTTGCATTTCATGGAGATATCCGATTTGAAATTGTCATGGTCTTGCAATGGTCTATCAAAACGTCATTGAAGCACCCAATACTAATCTCTTCTTGCTCGGAGTTGGGCGTTATGATGAGGCATTTGAATGCATAGGACAAGAACCAACTATGACGTGATTCGGTACTTGTGATGTCACTTGTTTGTGAACAAGGAGGAGGGCAATACTACCATGCGGCGAAACATTGCTAGAATGATATTATACATGACGGTCGACAGACGAGAATACTCATTAGCTAGTCTTGTGCAATCCATATTTGTATCTTCATTAAGTAAAGGGTATGTTCCCTAGAACTAGATAGGTATAACCGAAATACTCTCAGTCTAAGGAGCTGGTCCCCATGGCACACGATGCTCCAAATCCGGATACTCATACTCATCATTCTCCAAATATGGCATCTGCAACACGCCATCTCTGTCCGTATATGCATCCTTCTCATCTTCGAAGACCTGAAAGAGAGCTTGGTCATTCATACACAGTCCACTAATCAACCACCATGCCACGAGAAACTTGACGCGCCAGACCTTCCACTCACTAACGAGCTTCTTTTCATCCCATTCATCTTCCGCCGAACCTTCCGGCATGCCTCTCGTGCAATGATAAACTAAGCAAGTACTTTTGTCCTCCGCACTTTGAGCATCCAGAACCACGAATTGATACCATTCAATTCCACCCTCAAAGTCGGGAAAGTCGTGACGGTCGACGACATTTTCCACCATGAACTTTTGTAAGGTTTCAGGAGATGCGTCTTGAAAGCCAGTAGTAAATGATGGACTTGGTAGAGGAAGAGTAAGTTCAGGTCCATGGACATCCTCGGATGGGCTCTTTTGGAGAATCCATGGGCTTTCGGGTGCGCTTTTGGCCTGGGTAGATTGCGTTACGAATTCTGAAAGTGTCTGAAGAAGAATTTAATGTGTGTTCGATTATCTATAAGACTGCGTGACTTACCTCGTTTGGGATTTGAGCTGTGCAAAACACCAGAAAAGTTCCCATATCTTCGGATTCGAAGTGAACCAACTGACTGGCCTCAAGATATTTGTTGACTGGAAATGCGGGACTCGTTGAAGCCACAAGAGATTTAGTCTTATGGATTACTTTTGAATCTTAGTTATAGAGTATAGGAGAAACTTGGGGGGATTTTGTATAGAAATTACCCAGGTAAGGCTGATAGAGGATTGGGGCAGGACAATAAAGAACGTCAGAGGCTCAGAGGCTGTGCTTACGTAACACATGCAGGATTCACTCTGACTGAGATGATGCATCTTACCTTTGACATCTAAATCCAAGACATGGCGCTGAGAACTTCCATTAGACTCAAAAGATCCTCCAGTTTCAGCTGATATTCAGCCATGATACTATGGATGGAGGGAGTCTTCTCTAATTTGCGGTCAATCTCGAATGATACTAGATATATAATTTGCAGGGCTAGGTCGCTAAATATATGTGGTTTCTTATAGTTGATATATTGCGTGAGTGACAATCGCTGGCTGTTCTCGCCATTGAATTGTTTTTCTCGCAAGATTTACCTGCCAATTGCTAAGGTGTGTCCAAGAGAAGTCGCAAGGCAGACTGAAGTGGTTGCGCATTGCTATGACATAAAAGGTATCTATGTACCGTAAGCAGAGAACATTGATCCAAGGGATTTTGCAAGCAATTAAGAGGCACAGCGAAGGAACTATTGGCGTCGTCTGATGTTTTACGCCTTCATGGCTATATTGATATTGTTAGTAGCATATAAATGAACAGACAACTAGCTGCATGTCAATGTCCGTTTCGCATAAACTTCGGAATATTGATACGCTAGGATTAGTCTCGCCGCATTGATTCTGTCACTACCCTAGGTTAGTTGTCTGAGGGTAGAATAGACATCCATCTCTAGAGCTGACATTTTCAAAATTTTCTAGACTATTTGCCCGTACTCAAGAAGACGATCACCCAGTTGATGCGCCGGATTTTGTTCAAATGTAAAAGCTCTCATGAAGGCTGTACGAGATTGATGATTGGAGTTCTGGGAACGGCTGACATCGGTCGGTTCGAACTCTAATATAAGCAGCTCTCTGCGAATCTTCTTCCTTGCGATGTCACTGTTCAATATAAATCAAGAATTCTAGGAACTCCCTTCGTTGCCACTTTCTTTAATTCTTGAATCAGGGCAGGAAATCGTTCAGGAGTCAGATCGTATATTTTAGGTTTACCTACCCCAGCATTTTCAATTGTTTGCTATTTCCGTACGGGTCGGAATGAGGCCCTGGTTCCCCTAGAGCAAATCATTTCCACGAGAAGTATAATCTGTTATCAGATTGATATACCTGTCATACAAAACCTGCTCGGTTGCAATCACAGGCCTCTTACGACGATTTGCCATGAAGATCAGGGTCTAGAGCATAATGACAAGGTCTAGAACAATACCCTGTGACAGGCCTAGAACATCGAATAGTAAGATCCAAGATCCAGAAATATTCGGAAAGAATGTGAGTTCATCATTCTGTTCTGATAAATCTATGTGCCCGCATACCATATTCCTCGCCATTCCACCAATACAATAAAGCAACCCAAGCAAAAAATCACAAAAAGGTCTACCCAAATAGTGCAAGTATGAAAGAAAATTCAAGTCCACCCCTTCCCGGAACATAACTCCCCAATTTCTCAAATCGTATGCAAGGCATAGCAATCTGATCACCCGTCAAATCATAAAATTCGTCCAAACATTCAAGAATATCCGGGGAAGTTGACAGCCCATGTGTCAGTTCCGTACTTGAGGTGTTGCCAGAGGAGTGAGTTTCCACTCTTTTTGGATGTTCTTCGATACATAAAGTTGACAGGGTCGGTTGAAGGTGCATTCTTACAAACTGTGTCTGCTGCTTTTCCTGCATCTAGTGCTTTACAGTATTTACTAAAAATTTGTGTTAGATGGTGATGCAAAGACTACATGGCTTATCTTACCCCGCGTTGTGGTACTTCTTCTTGAAGTATTCGTCTTTCTTGGCTTTGTAGTGACTGATTTGTCCGGACTATTGAATGGGGGTTAGTGACTACATGAGGAGACAGTTTTCGATTGAAGGGGGAAAGGGTTTGATATAGCGAATATGGCTTCATGTAGAGCTTCATAGTAAGATGATGGAAGATTGGATTAGCTTACGACTCGAGATCCCTCCTCTGACACACATGTTAGTTTTGTTACCATAACAGGAAGAAAAAGATACTAACTTGTGTTATGGCCTGGATCGACAGGTGCGATGAGACAACCGATCCCACCCTCTTTGGCGGATGCATTGGTGGTATCTTCCGGACTAGTCCAAGTGGACTGTTTCAAAGCTGATAAATCAATTTTTGAGCCCCCAACCAATGTTGCTAAGGGAGGTCTGAAAGGGTCCGATCCGGCACCACTTGCTGTTCTCTGTGCCGTATTAGATCCTGGTCCTCCATATTGACTAGTTTCTGTTAGCAATCCATATGCTAACGATAACAATATGGCAAGCGAGCTCACAGCAATGAAGGCGATTTGAAGCAGAGAATCGCAGCGCATTGAGCCTCGCATACTTCTTCGACACCAGCACAATCAATATTGAAAATGTATGGCTTGGCTTTTGTTCCGTCTCCAGCGTCTGTACCGATACGTTTTTCGAGTTCGAAGGAGGCGTCAACTGTCTCTGCTTCTGCTACTGGGGCAGCCAGAACAGAAGAAAGCTGTAGAGACAGTAGAGCTGCTACAGGAACCAATACTTTGAACTGCATTGTCACAAAGGCGGTATAAGTTTACAGAAAGCGAAGAAGAAAATGTATGAGATCAGATGAAAACTGTATAAAAGTAATAGGAATGAAGCGTGTGATTGTTATGGCAACATCTGAAGAACACAATTCTTATATATCCCAAATCTACCCTTTTGTGTGACTCTTGACATATAAAGATTCTCACCAAATGCTCCTACAGGAACGCTCACTCAAATTAACACCATATGCTAAGCTGCACCACAAAAGCCAGCTCATCACGTTAACAATGTCGAGTAAAGTACGCAACACGAAATCTACAGACTGCGCACATTCCATTCCTTCCCCAGGTTAATTGTATGCTTAAAAAGCTCAAAACTTACACAAAGAGGATTCCCCAAGATACTCAGCTTACGCAGTTACTATTTTCGTTGTGAAAATATGTTTACGCCCCCTCGGCAGTGGCTCATCGCGAGAGATTCTCAGCCTTATTATGACTGCAGAAACAATACCGTGTTTCAAGATCCATTTCAATGGTGTAAATGAAATCCTATGATGTACAAGGTGTGCACTTTTTTCGTATTGTAAATTTCGAATCTTGAATGATGAGGAAGGAAGCACGAGGTAAAGTAGGCTGCTGATGTATTACCACTGGCTTGCTTGGCGTAATACGATGAGGCTTTGATGGAGATTCAGGGAAAGATAGGTGGTACAAGCTAGGAGAGATGTTTTGTGAGAAGTCAGATTGGGGTAGTAAAGTATTTGTGGACGTGCTGTTAGTATATCTTTTGAAGACACATCTGATAGCATTGTATGAGAATTACGTTCAAGGTATATTCTCTGAACATTGAGCTAATGTATATGACTTAGTTGACCATTAGCTATAGTGGAAGTGAGCTCGTTATGTATTGTGCAATTCTGACGTTCATTTGCTTGAAGCCTGCCAGGGAGGAGCAGGATATTATTTCGACCTGAAACAACCCAAATCAACAATTAGAATTACTTTGGCATCTGTAATTATTTCAAAATTTAAAAGATCATAATGTATCAAAACTTTAATTGATGAAGTCCCGTCCTAACTATAAGACATCTTAACTTAAAAATGAAAGTGTGTGTCTACTACCACTGCCTTGGCCTCATTTCCATCGAGAAGAGGGTGTAATTTGACATCATTTCTTTTTCATTGGACAAATTGGTGAATCGAAAATTGCGTGGATTTTGCACATGAATGAGCGAAAAAGTATTAATGATCGAGCACTTACCCAATTAATTAGAAATCATGACATTATATGAGCAAATATCCGAATGTAAGAGTGAGAACGAAATTGAAGTATACACTCCTGGCAATAATCAGAAACGTCATTCTGAAGATGGCCATTCATTACAGTAACTCATAACCCTAAAGTATCTACTCTCAAATCATGATTCCCAATGCTATACCGAAATTTTCAACGCCATGGTATCAGTCATCCACACAAAACAATTCATACAACTAAGCCCGCTCATTCATCGTCACTACTATCCATAATAAAGCCCGCCCTGACCCTCGGTCTTCTTGGATTTGCCACTGGTACAATATTTTCTTCATCCTCATCTATCTCCATCGCATCTTTCGCCAAATGCTCGTCGTCCTCATCATCGCTCAACACTTTACGCCTCTTTGGCTGTGCTGATCTATGTGGACTTGAAATCGGTGTATCCGTATTTTCTGCTTCTTCCTCTTCGGATTCTGGATCATCTGCACCTACACCAACCTCTTCATCACTATCCAGCGAGATAGCACTGCTTGCTCTCTTTTTGTTCGATTTCATAGGCACATCTTCATCACTACCTCCATCTTCCCCATTCAACGCACCTGCTATCCTTTTCTTTCCATTTTCCCTTTGCTGACCGACTCCCAACAACTCCTTCATGATAGTTATCTTATTCTGCTGCCTGAGTCTCTCCTCTGCTTCAAAGAAGATTCGATCATCTTCTTCATCATCGTCACTATCATGAACATAGAGTTCACTCTTAATTTTGCTGTTTTTCTCTAACTCTCTCGCTCTTCTAGCTGCTGCGCGAGTGTCAATTTGCTCATCTGTTAGCCCGCGACTTTCTTGCTCTTCACTCCCATCTTTTCTGCGTCTTCTTCGACTTTTCTTTAGAGCGTTCAAAGCATCAGATTTCTTCATTGCTGTAGGTCCACCAGGCTCGAAGAGCAGCTCCTCCTCATCTTCATCGTTATCAATGCCGTCATCTGAATCATCATCGAATGCAGAGCGTTTTCTGTGCATCCCAGCAGATACTCTTCTTATTTGATCAAGCGCTCCTTTACCGTCGTCAAAGGTTGGCGGGGCAAACTCGAATTTTTTGATCAAATCTAGGGCTTCTTTGATCTGATCCGCTGACTTTTTCGATGGAAAATACCAGGAGGCATCGGGGTCGTCAGCAGCTCCAATACTTGTGAGACCGACAAGCTTTACCAATAGGCGCAGATAGCCGTTCTTGAACATGGCCGATTTTCGATTGTCATTGTCTGGTTTGAGAACTTTGTTTGTGTTAGTGATATAGACAAGCAAATAATTTAATCATGATACATACGGATAGAAGGCGCCTTTGGAGGTTCGACCTCCGTGGCAGGTGTCTCTTCACTCTCTATGAGTGAATCTTTCTCAACGGATTGCAAAGCCTGATTGGCCGCTTCCCAACTTCTCCTTTCATCCTCTGCAGATGATAATTGCGACTTGACCCATTCGATGTGGTCAGCTTCATTTCTATCAAGCAAAGCGCCAACAGCAACACCAATTTGATCCTCCCACTCTAATCCACCCTTGACTTCTAGCTCAGCAGCTGCTTTAGGTTTTGTGGATATCGTCTGTTTTTCATAGCCATACTCCAAGAAATGCGCGGTGCTATTGGTTTTAGAAAAGAGCATTTCCACCACAAGCTCCGGCCGTTCTTGGATTTTCCTCGTGCATTTCTTCAAGAGTTGCTTCACCATTTCGTCCCATTCTTTGTAAGAGGGGGATTGAGGATCTAAGCCTCCTGGACCTTTGATCATAGTATAAAATAAATGAATGATATCCACTCTAAACAACATAACACTCATATCCTGCTTGAAGGCAACCCGATAGAAGAATCTATGGGCTCGCTTCAATTGTGCTGGTTTCAGATCAAGATAATACTTCGTGAAAGAAACAAATGTGTCGATACATCCTTGAGACAAAAATCTAGCAGCGAAACGCTTGTAATCAAACTTCCGCTCCGAGGATTCTTTTTGTGCTCGTGCCTCATCTTCACCATCAGATTCATCAACTATATTGTCGTCGCCTATGTCTTCTCCTGCATCTTTCGCAGCCTTCTTCTTTCTCCGCGTACGTCTCCTGGATCTTACTTGCATGTCAACATTCTGCTTCGAGTACTGTTCCAGGATACGCATATAATTATGTGTGAGCTCTGTACAAGAATCAAGATAACCAAATCCCTGGTCTTTATATGTTCTGGTTATCATGGCTACTCGCTCGTGAGTTGTATCTTCGTAGAATATACGTGCCAAAATGTTTTCCGCAATTTCCTGATCGGCCTCAAGCGGCGAATCTGCCATCTCTTGAACGGTGAGAAGAATTTGAGTGAAGCATTTCATAGCAGCACTTAAATCATACCAGTTTTTGTTTTCAAAATTGAGATCCATTGCCCTATTGAGTGTGATGAACATTTCTTGGTTGAGCACACTTGCAACAAGGGCAAAACTATCCACATCTTCTGGCCCTTTACTTTTGGAAGGCTTCTTGTTCTTTCTTCTCACTCTCTCCGCCTCAAGAAACCACGAAATCAAGTAGAAGAATTGGCGTTGATGATATTCGAGAACTCTTTCAGCTTCTCTGTCAATGGCTTTTCGAAGGTGTGTGAAAAGGGGGTTAAATCCAGAATCGAGAAATTCCTCAACGAACGCCCGTAGATTTTTCGTCGCTGATGCATTGAGAGGAACTGGATTATCAAAGGCTAGCGGTCCACTTTCTCCCTTGACCGCTCTCCTAGGTGGCTTGAATTTCTTAGTGCTGTCCATTTTGTCAAGTCCTCCTCTGCCCGTTCTTAGCGCGGCCTGACCAGAGATCGTTGTCATTTTCGCACCATCCCGTTGCATCCAGGCCATAGTCCCGAATCGATTATGCCTCGTGGGAGCATTTGTTTGATAACTTCGAAGCATTGCTTGTTCTTTCTTCCGTAATCTGACCAGTTCGTCTGTCTTACTATTATCCATGGCCTTCTCGCTGAAGAATAACTTCTCAACATCCACCCCTTTAACTAAATGGAAGATAATGTCCATGACTACAACATCCTGGGTATTGAATTCTGCCCCCATCATTGAAGAAACCATCAAAAGAAGATGAAATATGTCTTGGTAGTCGAAAGCATCAATTGTTGCAGATCGTGAAATTTCCGTTTCATCACCTTCATATTGACCATTTGGTGGAGGTGCAATCATTGCGGTGTTCCTTAGAAAGTATAAGATCAATTTGATAATACCATCATCTCTTGTACTTCGATCCCCAATATCCACTGCCATGGCAGGCAGTGCGCATCTGACCGCAGTATGTAATATTCTTGCTCCATCGAACCCAAGTATCGACCTCTTATAACCCACTTGCGCAATCTCTAAATATGGGACATGTCGGTGGTGATTGACTGTCATTTCCTTATTCTTCTCCAATGGCCAAGTTAATGGTACCAGCAATTCCATACATGCCAGCGCTATCTTCGACTTCAATCGATCGTCCGTAGCATTCTCGGGCCATGCTGCAAGGATTTGTAGAAGATCCCCTCCTACTAAATTGGATTCTGCGAGACATCTTGCAACGTCTAATCGATTCGCTTTCTCGTCATAGAGCTTTAACCATTTTTTGAGATCTCGTAAACATGCCAATGCATCGTCTCCTAGAACATACCGTCCCTCTTCATCTGCTCCGCTTCCTCCCAACTATCAATGGTTAGAATTAGTTTTGATTCTTGAATCTATTTGACAATATAATGAATATAACTTACAGCTGTAACTAAACTATTCACATAAGCTCTAACTTCAGGATCTACAACATCCCTTTTACCACCAGAGAACTCCATATTTGGTTGTGTAGTAAAGGGTGGTGATCATGAATTCCTAGGCATAATAATTTAATGTGATATATTGACTTTGATCAATTCAAACCAAAAACCACTGTACACGCTCCTACCAAAATCGCGATCGCGACGCGCACCCTTGTCAAAGCCACATGCAACAGCGGAACTTTACCGGCCCGCCTCGGTAACCTTAATAAATCCTGGGGAAACAACCGATGATAACCTTCTCTCTCTACTTTCAAGCTTCATTGTCATTTGTCAATACAACATCAGGATATTCGATTGTTTTCTTTTTCTAAAATTGTTCCTAAGATTGTTGCCCAACATGATATCTCCAATTGTAAGAAGAGGGGTTTTGCAGAGTTCAAAACATGCGAGATCATTCAGTTCAAGCCGAATGCTTTCGGCGCAAGAGGTCAAAAGTCTTGGTGTTATCGGCGCTGGCCAAATGGTACATTACCCTTCGTTGTACTTTTTGATGAACAATTTCTCACAAGGAATAGGGACTGGGAATCGCATTGGTAGCAGCACAAAGAGCTGGTGTTCCAGTCACTCTCGTCGATACAAATCAAGCCTCTCTTGATAAGGGTCTCGCATTTGCTGGTATGCTTTCTAAGCTTCTCTTTCCTTCTTCGCAGAATCTTCCTTACAACTTCATTTCAAGAGTATTCAACTGACTCTCATCTGAATTCAGATAAACTCCTGGCCAAAGATGTAACCAAGCAGCGCATAACTCAAGAACAATCTGACAGCATCCGCTCCTTACTCATCCCAACCACAAAGATGGATGATCTTTCCTCGGCAGACTTTGTAATTGAAGCTGTGCCTGAAATTCCCTCTTTGAAATTCTCAATATTCAGCTCTCTGGCCCAAATCTGCCCTCCCCATGCGATCTTGGCTACAAACACATCTTCCATATCCATTACACGGATTGCCGCATCGACGACTAAAGATCCCAAAGACACCAGCGCTTCATCTCGAGTGGTTTCAACACATTTCATGAATCCAGTTCCTATTCAGAAGGGTGTAGAGATTATCACTGGATTACAGACAAGCCAAGATACGTTGGATACAGCCATTGAATTCTGCAAAAGAATGGGCAAAATCCCATCCACTTCAGCAGATTCCCCAGGATTTTTGGCAAACCGGATTTTGATGCCTTATATCAATGAAGCCATCATTTGCTTGGAGACTGGTGTTGGTAAAAGAGATGACATCGATGCGATAATGAAGAATGGAACCAATGTTCCCATGGGACCATTGCAATTGGCGGACTTCATTGGTATTGATACCTGCTTGGCGATTATGAAAGTATTATATGAGGAGACAGGAGATAGCAAGTATAGACCTAGTGTACTACTGGGCAAAATGGTAGATGCGGGGTGGCTAGGAAAGAAAAGTGGAAAGGGGTGAGTTTTTCTTGTTCCTCTAAATTCTGTGAATGTACAGTGTACTGATATTCTGATGACAGGTTTTATGATTATTAAGTGAGAAATAATATTAACGACTATGTATAAATCAACGTACCATGAACTTGGAGCTTTATGATCAAGTGAATAAGATTCTGGGCATCTTCATTATTATCGTCACCACTTCTACAGATGGCAGTGAAGTTAATTGATGGGGTTTCGTGCCTCTTCACTAAATCTACATGAGGACTTTGCCTTCCTTAGCACGTAATGCTCATACTTGGTGGAACCTTTTGTAATATTCGAATAATTGTGAGATTTTCAATCCAAATGGACGCAAAACATATCATGACGTTCTATCCGGTTTCTCATATCCGTTCTATCTGAATGTAGGTAAGACTCATATACTCCTGAGTCGGATTTTCGCTTATATTCACCCCGGACGCCAATGCCATATTTACTCAAACAAAAAAGTTCTCTAGCCAACTTTAGCCACCAGACAATCTGCCGTAGTCCGTTTGTCACATTTCTGCTCGGGGTCCAAGGCGTATAAACCTTCCTGTAATTCATGCTTATTATAGGTCTGTTGAGGCCTGAAGTTGTACGAAGATGCACAGTTGACCTTCTGTTGAGATTCATTTTCGGTCTGGGCATTCACTCAATCTTGTAGTATCTCAGCCAATCCCCGTCCGGTATGTTCTATGTTGATTCTCTTGTTGCATATCTGCTTCAGGGCTTGAAGCCTATAGCTCAAAACCTGTAGGGTCTAAGAATTAGCTTGAAAATCCCATGCGTAGAGTCGGGAAATGGGCTGGGGATTGCATATTGTATATACCTAGTATGCCTCAATAGACTATAAGAGCAAAGTCCTTGGATCAAGTCATATTGTATCACATCAGATTGGAGATCACATATCACATTTCACAGCAGACAAGAAAAGACAAAGTTGTTCAACTTCCACACAATGATATTGCCACTCCACGATTCAGATATCTAAAAGTGATTTTTCCCGCTCTTCGGCGTATCCTTTTCCTTTCCCTCAGAAGCTTTCCAACCGCCCATCCGCTCTCAATCCCTTATCCAGCTCCAAGCACCAAGCCCAATCAATTCTCAGTTATTCCCCTCACTCAGTGAAAATCCCTAATATCAAACCAATCCCCTTGGGTTAAAAAAAAAACAAGAAAAAAAAAACAAGAAACATAAACAAGAAGTTCAAATCCAAGATCCAGCTAACCCCTAAGAAGCTCCAAACGAAAAATTGCATACCATTAATACACAGAGAAGAAGCGAATATCTCAAAAAGAAAAGAAGAAGAAAGACTTTGCTTTGTAGTTATCCCCAATCCCATATTCCTAACCCTATGAAAACACTCCTGAAGAAAGATGGCCAGAAGAATGGATAAATGTGGAAGAAAAAATTTGATATAAAAACAATGCCGGATAGTATCTCCTAGAAAATACAAAGAAGGGGTAAAGATAGAAGCTGTAGATCGAAGGTCGAAAGGTAGAAATGATGTCGAATTCCTGTCCGTCCCAGCGTTGGGAGAAACTTCAAAGGTGTAAGAAGTATGTATAGAAAGTGTATGTAAATATATGTATGTATGAGTATCTGTATGATCCATACGCATATAGCAAGAAAGCTGTAATGAATTTGAAAGTTGGTCTGAGGTTGGACTTGGGAGATGATGGAGGGATTTTGGTGGTGTCATGGTAAGGTGGAGTGAGGTGGTTTTTCATATTCTTGTGAGAGAAGTATGAATTCTATGCTCTGCTCTTTTTTCAAATTGCAATGCCTGTAAACGAATCGTGGTCTCTGAAAGCAAAAACTTTTGTATGCACACAAATATCGAAGATTGAAAATGAGCGTTAAACGAATTTCTTCAAGACATATGAGAAGGGGCGTAAGTTCCAGGCATAGTAAAACTTCTTTTGCGGTTATCTTTTGCTTGGAATTCGTTGGGTCGAAGATACGATGAACCATCGCTGTTATTTCTTTGTGGTTGGTGTTCAGGTTGTGTATGGCCTTGAGCATGCTGCTGTTCTTGACCTTGGGAGCTGAATCCTCGCTCACTTTGTGGAGCTCTTGATGCGTTGTACGCGTTTGCAAAATCTTGCGGTGGAGCCATTGGTGCACTTAATTGTGGATGGTTCACGTCGCTTGGAGTTCGAGGGAGAGAGAACTCCATTGGAGCTGTTAAAGGTGCGCTGGCAAAGCCTGCGGAGTATGAGGGTGTGAATGGGCGGGAAGTAGGAGGCAGATGTGATGGACCTTGGTGGGGAAGAGGTCGATATTGATTGCGTAGGTCAAGACCTTGGGGGAAAGCACCGCCAGTGGATGCTCGCAAGCGGGACATGGCAGCTGGCGAAGATTGTTGCAAAGATGATGGAGGATGCGATGGCGAATAGCTCATATGTTGTGGTGAGTTTTGGATGTTGGAACCTATCAAAATGGTTAGTTTTTTATCTAATTTTGTTTGCAAGGATGGAACGAACTTGGGTAAGAGTTTGACTCAAATTGGTGCGCATTGACCGCGTTGTTCTGCTCAGGCTGGTACATTGATTGTTGACGTCCAGTCGATTGAGGACTTGGTTGTCCAGTTGGATAATTGGCGTAATCTAAAGTTTCACCTTTCCAAGACATACTGGATCTCAGTGGCGACTGAAGTGACTCTGATCGCGATCTTGACATTGTCTCTCGAAGCTGTAATGGTTGTAATGGTCGGCCGCCGTGATGTCTTTGCTGGGAGTGGGAAACGGCTTGATAACCCGGAGGTGGTCGATCAAATGGATTTGAGCTCCTTGGCCCTGAGCTCATTGGGCTCGAAAGATGGCTGGAGAAGTATCGATCAGAGGAATTAATAGACAATGGCGAGAGGCCATCAGGTGTTCCAATGGAACTCCCCGGAGTATATCCAACATGTCCATATCCAGGGCTCATGCCTGCTGGCGACATGTGGTCATCTTGTTCATGTCGGCGCATGGTGTCTACCATCAAAGGTCGTATCATATGATCCGCGTAATTTGGCACAAAATCGACAGGCGATTGCATTGGTGTTCCAATGCCGTGTACAGCTCCGTAAGGAGAATGTAGAGCCTGTACGTTGTCGAAGTCATCTGGTACCGCTCTCATCTTCATCATTCGCTCTCGGTCATCCGCAGTAAGTCTCTTGATCTTTGCACGTCTGCTTCCGTTAGTCCATATTCTTCGCTCAGACTGGGTTGAATTTTGCATACCGGTTCTGAAACCATACCTGCACTTGTCTTGGACTAAGGCCTGGAATTTCTCGTGACAAGCGCTCGCGATGAGCAGCATCTGGGTGAGCTTGTTTTGCGAATTCACTCATAAGAAATCGAGTTTGTTGATGAGTGAGACTGTACTAGTTAGTTCTCCATGTCACAACACATACGTAAACCAAAATAAACATACCGAAATCGTTTCATCTTCCTGCGTTCGGCTCTGCGTTCTGCCGCCGTCTGCGGCGTTGATGAAGTTCCATCTTCAGTATCTAACATATCGTCGTCGTCATCAATATCGTCATCGTCTTCTTCCTTGGGACTCAAGAGAGCTGACGCGTCTTCGTTCATGAGTGCTCCTGCTCCTTGCTGTGGTGCGCTTGACGCAGATGATGTTGAGTTCGGTGCGATCGGCCCAAGTGAAAGAGGTGCTGATTCTGTCGAAACCATAGATTCATCCCGAGCTCTGTTGACAGAAGGCTGACCGCAATCTCCCGGTGCGGAGTCCGGTCTCTCTATGGTAGGAGTTGGCGGACCTTCCGGTCTTATTGGGCCAAGTGTATGTCGATGCTCTAAGGTTGGTCTGGTAGCGGGTTGTTGTTGACTGTTGTTTGTGTTGGAGCCTGCAGAGTGCTCGTAGTTTTGTTGGACCATGCCATTCTCTCCAGAGAGTTGATACGAAGAGTACTGTTCTCGCCAGTCCGGCTGCGGCGGTAAAGCCTCAAAGTTCGCCATCCGTGGAGACGCGAAGTTAGCAGACCCAAGTTTATTAGAGGACCAAGTGTTCCGTCCTGTTTCGCATTGCCGTGTAACAAGCATTGAGAGTATCTGTGATTTGACCGTTGAAGATGGTCTGGAAGTTGCTTTTTGGGTTCTTCAAGAGCCCGTGATTCGAGAAAGGAATATGTGTGTTTTGTTGTCGCAGTGGTAAGTAGCCGTGGAATGAACGAGTGTGAAGGCCGCTATAGACAATGGCTGATCACTGACCAGAAAAGAACATAAGGCCTATCGAAGGCAAGTAATTGTTGAGTCTAGTTTATGATCTAGTCCTGCTTGCTGGATGATGATTTTGGAGAAGTCGGAAGAGTGTATAAAGCTTGTTCCTGTAGCTATTGATCGGTGGATAGATTAATCTTAAGGGTCTTAATCAAGATCTGCCAAATAAGGTTGATTGATGAATGGACCAGTCCCGGGAATATAAATGAAAGGGTTTGAATGTTCTGGACAAGCCGAACGCGTATACCTTCCAGAGATTTTACTACTTGACGAGTTGGTATTCAACAGCGCTGCCGTGTAGAAAAGAAGATGAAGCGACCTGGTTCAAGGATAGATTGGGCTCAATGAACGGATGTGGCGAGTGTCCTGCGTCGTCCAAATGAAATATAAATTACTTCTTGTTTTAATGACGTGCTAAGTCCGTATTAAGAAGTAACAGGAATGAAGTTGAAGGGGGGTCGTTGTCTTTCTTTCCACGTTCGATCGACAAACGTCGGGTAATATACTCTAAGATTGAAGGCCTTTGATATATAAGTTCCTTGGTTACGATCACCACAACAAGGAGACTGGACCCGACAAGCGCCCTATTACCCCTGCCTCTCACAATTCACAGGAAGTCCCTGTCGTTGCAGCAGAATGCCGCTGAAGTAAATTGTACCGATGACAAGAGTCTAGTATGCAAGTGGAGCGGAGTAGTGTCAAAAAAAACCCACCTCGACTTGATACAAGGCTTGCACGGTTGCGTCTAGGATTTTGCTTGGGAGGACCGGACTTGGGACGAGATTTTAAGGACAGTTGCACAAGCTAGAGTGGATAAAGAATGAAGTTTGGAAGGGAATGTTTTTAATGCACGAGGACTTTCAAAGTCAGCCACAAATTTGAACAAAAGATTGAGAACAACAACAACTGAAGCGATTCAATGAAATGAGTTTGTGTAAGAAGCCCACTGTGGCTCTTAAGAGGATTGACAAATGGAAATGAAGCTGCAGCGAAATGCTGGATAGCACTCTATCGAGAACTGTGCAGAACGTTGGATAAGATGAATGTGTGACTGGAGTGTAGGGATTTGGTGCCGGCGCAATCATCCGATACTCAGATGAAGCATCCAAAATTCTGAATGGACCAACAGGAGTTGGTTAAAATGACAGCAGGGCTCCGCAGAAATGGTGAGTTGTATCGATCTCAGCTAAGCCTATTGTGGGAGAGCTTGAGAGAACAACGGATATGACAGGGAACCAGCGGAGAGATCGAGGCTGGGTCTTTTTTGCGTGGATCATTGGTCTTCATTTTGCATGAAAGGGTTGGAGGGATCATTGAATCTGTGGGTCAACTTGCAACCGTTGTCGCTAATAGATACCACCCAATGAAGATCTGTGAAGACATGGGGGGCCGGACTCGTTATGCGAGTTGTGACTTTAACAACGTGACGACCCTGCCGCTTATGAACAATTAACGCAAATAAGAGTGTTCGTAAAGAAAAAAAAGAAAAAAGTCAAATACAAAACAGGAAGCACCTCGATAATGCATATTTTGCATATCTAGGTTCGCAAACCTCAGATTAGAAGAATAGCCTCAAATA